GGTAGAACCAAGGACCGATTGGCACTGACTCACTGAGGCGCTTGATTACCGGTACCTGGTAGGCTGGTACCGTACCTACTGTCCAGCGAAGTTCGAACCTCCCTTGCCTACCGGCGAACTGCATGGGCTACCTACCGGGCCCCGCGGTACCATGCGGTGTGCCGCCTAAAATTTCGCTGAACCTTGGCCGGGGCGCTCGCACGAATTTAATCTTTAGCCAGCGATGAATCACGATTCCCGTGCGATTATGGACGATTCAGGGCCTAGAGCCTTGACTACATCGACGTACATCAACGGTTGAAAAGTTCTTTCAAAAAACGTGGCCGTCCCAGACATCTGCACCTAATGCTCAGCTGTCCCGCAGAGTGCCAGCCTGTACACGGGTCAGTAGATAGGTATGTACAATTCTGAGTTGGTACCAAGTACACACCCCCACGGAGTAGGTACGGTAGCACAGAGGTCAGGACTGAGGAAAGGGCGTCGATCAGGGTCCACTGTCCAGCCTCCAGGACAGCCTCAGCAGGGAGGGCGCCAACGGAGGAGGCCGATTGAGTCGTGCTTTCACAAGCTGAGCTGCATAGGCGAGCCATTGAAAGGGCTGCACATTAGGCGTCTGTGTCTCGTATGAAAGAGGGTGAAAAGGCTGCATTTCGAGGACCTCCGGTGTGGCTCAAAAAATCAAGGGGATAGACTACACTAGCTAATTCAGGGGCTGGATAGGAATCTAGTTGAACTGTCGTGAGCCGTCTGAAAGACCAGAAGACTGCCTGTCGAAACAGGGATTACTAAAGTTTTCGAAAAAAATCAAATAGTGGATGTTCTGCACCCTGGGAAAGGGGTAAATGCGAGATGTTTTTGGTGGAAGCCCAAGGTAAAGCTTTCCACACACTTACACAAGCCACGTCCTTTTGTGAGAAAATTTGGATGTTGCCCTTGCCGCCAAGCTTTGTGAGTGTTTTTGTTCAAAAATGCAATTGGTGAATAAAGGTGTCACAATCGTCGCTTGCTCAAAAACATCGGTTGTTTGGTGACTCAAAGCTCCGCACCTCTTCAAACACAATCCTCGGCAAAGAGAGCCTCGAACAAGTACTTGTTCTAGTCGATTGCATGTTAGGAAGGTCAGACATCTTGTAATCTTTTGACATGAATTATCAACGCAGAATTACGATGTTACATAGACAATGCTGGGTTGTGGCAAGTCACTTGTTCACTTTTGTTTCCTGTAAGCAGAATATTGAATCTGTCAGCTCAAAAGGAATGCTCGTTGGCCTGGGGTATGGTCCTACTGCTCTACATACCTGCACTGGTCTGCTGTACGAGTGTCCATGAAATCAATTATCCATGTCTGCTTGGACAGTTGACATGTCTTCGCCACCCCTTCTTTTGTAGGCTTGGACTTGCGTTTATTTGACATGTGAAAGGACCCCAGGTCACCTGGAAAAAGCTCGTGTCCAATAGAATCTTCAGCCATAATCAGGTGTTTAGGGCAGGCGTGCCTTTAAGATGGTACTCAAGTTGTGCAATGTTCTTTTACCCTCCTCAGGTGATCAAGCTGTGTCATTGGAAGGTATTACCAGCAGTAGTTAGCAAGGAGCATCACAGAGGGGCTAGGGTTAGCTCTGGGGATGGCAGTTGATGCTAGCAGGGCCCCCATGGAGCTTCCTTCAAGAAACTGGGACGGTCGCGAGCATATGATCGAGTCCCTCGCCAAGCTAGAGGGAAAGGCAGGAGATCCTTTCAACCTGGCGAGGCAACCACTTATGCACCAGCCGCAGAAGCGCGGCCTTTATGCTGACGTCGAGTCCCCGAGGTCGGTTGTGAATGTGCTGATGTCGCCTGGCCTGGAGTCCGCATCACCTGCTGCTGTCGTAAGAACGGAGGACGCGCCTGAGTGGTCACGAGGCAGTCACTCCGTCTCGCCGGGTAGCGTGGGGCCGCTAGGGGAAGTGTCAGCAGACGAGAGCAGCAAGACGACAGGAGCAGCAGGCGCAGGGTCCCTTCCCCCCGACCTCAGCGGCCAGCAATTGGCTGTGGACAGCAACCAAACGCAGGTTGTGAGTCACTTTGGCAGCTCTGGGAGAGAAGCGCAGGGCAGCGGTGGCACTCCTCAGAAGGCTGCTGACAGGGATGGGAACCCGAGCAACCGATCTGGTGGCAGCCTGGGTGGGGCTGCTGGCGGCGACAGAAACAATGATGACGGGGCACGCAAGAATCAGGATGGGGTTCCTGGGGCGTCTGAGCAGACGGAGCTAGCCAGGCAGCGGGAGCTTGCGTTTGAGGGAAATCAGCAGCGGCCGGAGCCGCGGAAAGAAGCTCCAGTGAAGCAGGACTTCTTTACCAAGGTGAAGAACGCCAAGTCTTAGTTTCCTCTGCTTTTGTTCAGGGCAAGGTACAGCCTTTCTCAGCTTGGGAACTTGTTGAAACCAGAGATGCTTTTGTTCAAGTTGTCAAACTATGCATGCCACCAAGTAGGAAAGAGTGACTGACCTCACAAGCGGAGTGTTAATTGACGAATTAATAAGTTTGGCATGTGGTTTTGTTTCACGGTTTGTTCAAAGTTGAACCTTAACCAAGTTCGGTCGAGCTCAATGTGCACAGAGTAGTTAGCGACTTCTGCTTGTGTGTAATTCCATGATGGCAAAGTGTCCTGGTTGCTCAGCTTTAATGCTCTTTCGTGTGTTCTCAAGGCCAGCCGCTGCTTCTAGATGCACGTAATCTTCTGTTGGCATCTGTCTAGTTTTAACTTGATTATGCCACCTCTGTTGACAAGCAATGTGTGTTTGCCTGGACGCAATCTCTTAAATAACTCCGTTTAAGGGGTCCTCCTCAGATTTCTGGCGTGTGCCTTGCTGCAATGAACTCCATGTGACTCGTTGCATTTTTGGCCTCTGCTTCTCTTAACTGCCGAAGCTGGGCCGCACACCTGCCATCGTTGCATTTGCTGCGGACCCTGCTCACTAGTTGCTTGGTTGGTCTGTGACACTGGTGTTTCGGCAGAGCACTTTCAAGTTCGTTCTGCGCATAACGGAGTTACATTGCACCAGTGCATGCTCAGCGATAGCTGTCTGCTGAATCCCTTCCCCCTTTTCTACTTTCAATCATATGCAAAGCAGAATCTCTTCCCCCTTTCTTACTTTTAATCGGATGCAATTGAAGACGGCGTCTGTTTTCAAACAGCCTGGGTGGTGCTATTCCTGCAGCCACCTCTTCCGCTCACTCAACCTTTGCACCCCCTAGACGGGCTCAAAGTGGTATTCAGTCCAGGGCTTTCTCCAAGTAGAAACGTCTGCACATAAGTCGCCCTCCCTGCGCGCTTACCAGGACTCTGGCCGCTGCAGCCGGTTCCTCCTCTCATGTACACTCTCAGCTTTTCGACCTGCCAAGTGCAGCACAATCAAAGTACTTCTGTAAAGTTTCTTCAGCAGCCAGACTTCGCCACATGCTTTGCCTCAACTGCGTGCTTACCAGGATGTTGGCCGGCGCCTCTCCCTGCAGATAAAGCTCGCGATGTGCGCCTCGGCTCAGCCTATTGAGAGCGACATGGAGGACCGCCGGGAGTTCCGCATCGGCTGGCCGACCAACGTGAAACACTTGGTCCATGTCAGTTTTGATCGGTTCAGGGGGTTTGTGGGCCTGCCGGAGGAGATGGGGGCGGACCAGAAGAACGCCCCCGGGGCAAGGTGAGGCTTTTTGGGGTTTGGTGGTCTTTGGGGGGGGGAGGTTTGTGAGGCCTTTGGGGGATTGTCATCTGGAGAAGCTCGAATTTCGCTTGTTTCTGCATTCTTTTCTGGTCCTTTCCGGAGCATTTCAATGCGCGCAGGAGCAGACGTTTGTCTGAAAGGCTTTCTATGCGCTTAATAGGTAGTCCAACCAACCAACTACATGGTAGTGACATCAATCTGGTCAGCATCTGCTTTTCGGAATTGAGGGAGGATCTTTTTCAGGGGCATGTTTCCGCACTTTATCTTTGAAGAGGAGGACCCCAGCATCTGAATTTGCCTGGCCCATTCATGCTGCTATTCCTTCGCTTATTCTTATAAGATGGTGTGCATAATCAGGAAGGTTGAAGCGGTTTCAGGGGGCTCATGCACACGCACTCCGGGATCATGCAGCAGTACGCCTCTGCCAATCCTGTCTCCATGTCCTACCGCTCTCTGTTGGGGCGCTTCGGTGTTGGCAGGCTTGCAATTGGCAGATGAATCTCAAAATAGATAACAGCACTCGTTTTGGGGGGCTCCCAGGGTGTTGTCCTTGAAAAGGCCTTTGCTTGCTGATATGCTTGTATTGCAACAATACGTGATCCTTCTTCAGTCACATTCTATTGCGGTAAAAGCAGGGGTTTTCACAGCCAGCAGAGGGGTTTTTGCAATTGCTCATATGCAAACCTCTGTCTTCCTCAGCCTGAGCGTGTTTGGCGTCAAGCCTGAGTCGCTCCAGGTCACGTGGGATCGCAACCACAAGCACTGCGTACCGACGGTGCTTTTCCAGCTGCACGAGCGGTTGTTGCAGGAGAATGGTCTGAGGGTGAGTTTCTTCTTTTGTCTCTATCTGGATTAGGACCAATTTGTTTGCCTGAAGTACAAGTGATTTTATCCCCTCAGCCAGCGCATGCCTGGGAAGGGCTCTCTTTGCCAACTGCGATCAGATTCTGATGAGCTCTTTCCGGGAGCTCTTCCCAGGAGCTCTGGAGGACGGACCGTTTGTTTGATGCATTTGAGGACTGGTGCAGGTCTTTGCTTAGCCTTATGATTCAACCATCTTCGAAGCTCAAAGCCTGTGGAGGGCCCTTCTTCATGTTAGTCTTTCTCTTCCTGGTTTGCACAGTCCTTCATTCTTGGTTAAAAAGCTACTCCTTGACCTTGCGCATCTCCTGCCCTTCTGATTGCAATTCTTCACATCGCAGGTTGAGGGAGTGTTTAGGATTGCTGCTGAAAGCGAGGAGGAAGAGTACATCCGGAGCAAGCTGAACAAGGGCGAGGAGCCGCCTCATACTGAGGTCCATGTTCTCGCGGGGCTGATCAAGGTGAGGTTCACAGCAGTCGCGCTTGTGACTCTTCAGAGAGGAGTGCTGCTGAGATATGCATAACGTTCATTGCTGTACAACGAGAGGATTCTGGGCGTCTCGTTCTTCCGTGGCCAGAGTGCAGACTCTCTGTTAAGACCCCGGTTATTGCGATTGGGGAGTGGGGAAGTCTCGCTTAGGTCTCCTCCAGAATGTTTGCTCACTTCCGCTAGAAGAATCAGGGAAGGTCATCAGGGAAGGTCGGCCACGAGGGTCGTCTGTTCAGCCTGCAAGAGTCCCCTGTTTCAGGTCGTCTCTTCAGCTGCCATGTGCGCTCCTTGCTGGCGTTAGCTGGTCTACTTCACCCTACTGATTGGTGCGCTCATTCGAAAGTCTGTAGCCAATGTTGTTGCTTTCTCGCGACTCAATCATCTCTTGGTCGACACCACCTTAGGTCTTCACCTGCCTAACCCATTGTCAACAGAGATTGCAAACTGAATCATCAACGAGGTCCTAATTTTCAAGCTGCTAATAAAATCAACCCCGCGACTGTTTCCCGAAAATCGTGCTCCCTCGTTCATTTCGGTCTGCTCAGAAGAATAAGCCACTGTTCCACAGTACTTTTCCAAAGACACAACCGCTCACGCCGCATCTCGTTTTGCAACTAGGCGTGGTTGAGCGAGCTGCCGACGGACTTTCTGGTCACGCTGACGCTGGAGCAGCAGGTGGCGGCAGAGAAGAAAACACTTTCGTATTCCTCAGCTCAGACATTTGAGCAACTTGCGTATGATCGTTCAATACACATCCACTTACGTTGCTTCAAATTTTGTAACTAGGCGTGCTTCCGCGAGCTGCCGACGGGGTCCTGGACACGCTGACGCGGGAGGAGGTGGCGGCGGCCCAGAAGGAGACTCTGTCATGTTGCTCAACTAAGCTAATAAAAGGCAAACTCCAACGAAGCTCATAAAGTACACAACCACTCAAGGTGCTTCTCATTCCGTAACTAGGCGTGGTTCCGCGAGCTGCCGACGGGCGTCCTGAACAGGCTGACGCCGGAGCAGGTGGCGGCCGCGCAGAAGGAGAATCTGTCGTGACCCTCAGCTCAGACGACTAAGAGACAAAAACCAACTTATTTGTTAGAGTACATGAATGCTCACGTGGTGCTCCTTGTCTTGTAACTAGGCGTGGTTCCGCGAGCTGCCGACGGGCGTCCTGGACACGCTGACGCCGGAGCAGGTGGCGGCCGCGCAGAAGGAGAGCGAGGTGGTGGCGCTCGTGAAGCAGCTGCCGGACACCAATTATGCGCTGCTGGACTGGGCGGTGGACCTCATGGCCGACGTGGTGGAGCAGCAGAGCTACAACAAGATGAATGCACGCAACATCGCCATGGTGTTTGCGCCCAACATGACGCAGGTGGGCTCGTGTTCTGACTCTTTAGTGTTTTATGCTTTGTGGGACTGTGTTGATTAGGGAAGGGCGGTAAGGCTTTCTTATGAACAGGCGCGACCACATCATGCTGTTGGCGCTGAACATGACACAGCGAGAGTCGGTTCAGTGGCGTTGAGTTAAGAGGTCCCTTGGTTTTGAAGGTATCGAGGATTGTGCTTCCTCGGCGTCGTTCCAATGCAATCTTTGGAGAGAGTGGCGCAGTTCCCTTCAGCCCAGCTCGAAGAGGATTAGCTCGTGCAGCATCTGGCGTCAAGAGGCATTAGCATTGAGAAGCCCTTCTTCAATAAAAGTCCCTGCTGCCTGGGGGTGGTCGAGTCTGCTGCCTTTGGCCCTTTGACGGCGCTTTTGTCAAGGTGTATAGTTCCTTGGAACCGGAATGCCCCTTGTCCCCAGGAATCCTCACGCCAGCTGTTAAACAAGATGCTCAGACGCGCCTGGTGCATCAATAACGTGCCGTATTATCTCCGTTCGTTACTCTGCTCACAATAGGGGGGCTTGTTTCGCAGGTGATGGACCCCCTGAAGGCGCTCATGCACGCCGTCAAGGTGATGAACCTGCTCAAGGTGCTCATCGAGAAGCGCCTCCGCGAGCGGCGGCAGGCCGCCGCCGAGGAGGCGGCCCGCGTCGAGCGCGAGATGCTGCGCCTCGCCGAGGAGGAGGAAGCGCGCATCCGCGCCGAGGAGGAAGCGGTCGAGCGTGCGCTGAAAGAGCGCGAGGAGCGCGACGCAGCGGTCCGTGCGGAGCAGGAGGCGTCGCTGGCGAGCGCCGGCGAGGGTGTGAATGCGCACGAGGAGGGCGTTCACGCTGACGAGGAGATGGAGATGCGGAGCAGCGCGCTGGTGGACGGGACCGCCAGCTGGCAATCGCTCGCGGCGTCCGTGGCGGCGCTTCTCGCGGGGGGGGGTGCGCAGGCGGCCGACCGCGCGGCGGGGCGTGCGGACGCCGGGGACTCGGAGGACGAATTCTTTGAGTCGAGCGACAGCATCAAGGCGCCCGCGGGGGCGGCCGACGTCCGCTCGCCGGAGGAGAGTGCGCTCGGCGCGGGGTCAGCCGAGGCCGATGCGCCGGTGCAAACGGCAGGGGCTGACGTGGCGCAGGAAGCCGTTCGGCTGGATGAGGAGGAGAAAGCGGAGGGCGGTGACGTGGCAACGGGCGAAGTCCTGGCAACGGCTGAAGTTCGAGTGGAAGGTGGGGAGGAGGTCGATGATGTGGCAACTGAGGAGGGCGTAGCGGAGGCGATGAGCCTTCCGGTGACAAGGTCTGAGCTGCTCGTGCTGGTCGGCGAGTTGGAGAAAAAAGACGAGCTGTTGCCGGTGCCTGAGGAGGAGAACAGTGCGGAGCCTGCGGTGGTGCGCGAGAAGGTGGACATTGCTCTCGAGAGTGACGATGTGCCCGAAGACGAGGAGATATTGCCGGCCAGGGAGCCCCAGCGCGAGGCCGAGGTTGTGGAGATGAGCAACGCCGCAAAGTATTACAAGCAGACATAGTTTGTCAGGTGTAAGTGGCTCGGAAAGGAGTGCGGCTGCAGCCTTTGTGATGATTTGTACAATGAGCCGCTGGTCCCTTTGGTCAATTTAGTTGGCAATGATGAGCCGCGTGGGTCCTCGCTTCGCTATGCATTGGGAGAGAGTCCCCTCCAGAGCACTAACTTTAACCCAATAAGGCCCCATTGCGCTTCAAGACTTGGATGGGCTGTGCAAATAAGGGTAGAGAGGATAAGCGGCTTGCTAGGCTAGGAGGTTTCGTTCTTTGACGCTTGTTTATGATGTCCAAACCTGTGACGAGTTTTATAGTCAGCGACTTCGATTTCCTTTCTGTGCCCTGCCACACATTGTTATGTCTTCTTGTGAACTCCCTCTCGTCAATATGCATGTTCACTAGAAGTTGCATGAGACTTTGAATGGTAGACGTCGGCCATGGCAGCTGCATGGCCTTGGAGATGCGCTAGCTGCCGCAGCTCTGTACTGTGATATGTCTGGTACTGCAAAATTTTGCCTGATGTGGGCACGCCTTAGCTAGCACGCACTTGTGTTAGCATTTCCTCAGTGCAATACGACCATCTCAGTGGCACAACAATCAATCATCGTCAATGCATTGAAGAGCTAGCTAGCCTAATCAGAATTCATGGACAAGCAGTATTGTTGGCGTTGCACCGTTCACGTGTTCCAATGCAATGATATGGCGCACTGAGACTTGATTACAGCACAGTAGTCAAGATACAATCAGTGGCTATCAGATCTGCATGCAAAGGCGATTAACGTGCAATCATTTGTGCCGCCAGATTTCAACGAACGTCATCAGTTGGGCCGGCCGGGGGGCTTATATACAGTGACGATGCTCCTGATATGTGTGATCTGGCGGCGCAAGCGTGGCATGCCAGTTGAAAGTTTCGGCGCAAGTCGAATACGTACTATCTCATGGCTGCCTTCGCAAGATATACAAGTGAAAACTAGGTGGAGTCGGTGTTGTCCAAGGTCTCGCTTGAGGGGCCCGTAAGACGTAGACAAATTATGCACGTAGCTGTCACTGCATACATGTGCAGCGATCAAGTGCATGTGGCCGCGCCGCCATTATGGAGCTAGCGCCCCACTGAAACCGATGACTTCGCTTCGTGTGATGCTTAGTGAGGGCTTGGCCACCGCCATATGTGCACATGGACGCAAGATCATTGAATGTCATGCGGCTTGAATTAGATTTTCGTCAGTGAGAGGACCCGTATGTGTCCTTCTGACGCCTTTTCAGCTGCCCAGCCGTCACGAACGTAGTAAGCTAGCAGCTTTGGGGGATCATTCCGGCCGGGATGCGTATAGATGCGAGTATGTCCTTCCATGACATTGACAGAGCTCTGGCCAGTCTTGCGGTCTGATCCCTCCGATCTTGGCTCGCCTTGCGCTGTACCAAGGGCGCTTGGACCGGCAAACTCGTGAGAATAATCAGACATCTGCTCGTGATGACGGCAATACTCCGACGAAACGCTTCGAGGATCGTTATGTTTTATCAGCACAGCGGGACCCTGCTCGGGACAAAGGTAGACTTGGCGGTGCGGTATGGACACGTGACAGTGCGCCGTCACTTCAAGTTGGCTGGCGACTCTGCAGCGGACTCAGCGGAGTCCTTCAGATCCTCAGCAGACTCCATCAGACGGATCCCCATCGCAGCTTCTCGTCATTCTGCAGAATGTGGAAGGAGAACACTTTCTGGAAACGCCATTCAATGACCGACAGGCTTTGTTTCTTTGCACTTGTTGTCTCAGAACTGTTGATTAGGGGACACGTGGCATTATCGACGATTGAGGTGTTTATTAGAGAGTTCATTAGAGATTGGCACGCGTAATCGTGACGAGCATAAAAGGGCGCGCGAGGACCAGTGGACATCTTTCACTAGATCGATTCCTGGGGCGCCCCCTGCCCTCCCCCCGCTCCAAAGGCAAAACCTTTTGTCGACAAGTGCTCCGCGAAGCTTACCGAAATACTGCAACACCACTTTCCGTCTTTCAAACGGCACCACTAAGCCTGCACATTCCCTCTACCCTATCCATGCTGCTTCTGTCTGACCACATTTGGAGCTAGGATTGTTCAGAAGCAACCCCGGTTTGGAACTGCTAAGTCCAGATTCAACCGTCGTCGCAAGAGGGATGCTGTTAAAATAGGTAGCGTTCTAATCTTCCGTCCAGTTTTGCACGTTTAAGCGAACCCGATCTTACGTACGCTGCACTACTGAGGCCACATGAGCCGTCCGAAGGCCTAAACCCCGAGTCAGATCTGCGATGGAATGTAAACCCGTCTAGCGCCGCGGCCGCCGCGCGGCCCTTGCTGTCGGAAAGCTCTGGTTCATCTAAACAAAACCATCCTGATCAAACGACCCCTAGTAGTAGTACTTCGTCTTTTTGGTCCCAAAGAGCCAGACTAGCGAGGCTCGTCAAGCGCATGCTAATCAGGGCGGATGGCAAGGTTCAACGAAGGCAGCGCTTTTGACGCGCTCTGTCCCGAGCTTGTGGACCGCATCCTGGAAAACGTGGCGGCGGAGAGGGGGTGTAGCTGGCCAGACCTTGCAACAGTGAACAAAGCATTCAGGGAGTCCGCTTGCCGCTGCAGTCAAACCCTGGTGATCGGTAAAACCAGCAGATCGCATTCGTATCAAGAGCCAAGACCGCTCCAGCTCAGTTTGCAGGTAGCTGATGCGGTGTCCGGGACTCCCAGTGGAGCTGAGATAAAAGCTCTGAGAAAAGATATTGCTTCGCACCCAAGGCTCTCCGAGCTTGTGATATTGAGTAGCTTCGCAGCGGAAGGCCTCTGGCCAGCTCTCTCCCGCTTCCGGTGGACTAGCGTCGTCAAACAACAGGGAGAGGTTTGGCACCTCTTTGCGCTGCTTTCTGGGGCTAAATCTTCTCTGAAGAAGCTAGAGTTGAGTCACTTGAAGCTCTTCCAGCTCAATCTGTATGAAGACATCTTCCGAATCGTGCGAGCATTCCCGAACTTAGAGATTCTCACTCTCGACATCCGCGATGAGACTAGCTACTCCTTCGGTAGTCCTTGGACACCAGACGCAAAAGCCAACAAGCTTCACAGTCTGACCTTCTCAAGCATCCACTTCACATTCTGGTGGGACGCTTTCAGAGCCCTACCCGCCTGTCTCACGAATCTGAACACTCTTAAGTTTTCGGTGCGACGATCATCTACCATTTCAAGGTTCTCCTGTCGAGCTGCACAGCCTGTGTTCGAAGTTCACGAATCTCCAGAAGTTGTTTCTAGAGGTTCAATTTGCTGAGTCGCCCAATCTGTTGCTCGAGACCGTGGCAGCGCATTGCAATCACCTACGTCAACTTCAGCTCTTCGCCATTCCGCTGTCGTTCCGTCAACCTTCGCGACCAGCAGAAGCGCTCCCTGTCTCAGAGCTTCAGACCAGATGCCCGGAATTAGAGCGGCTTGTTGTCAGTTGCGGGGAAGCTGTGAGCCTTCTGGAATTCAGGAGACTGGCACTTGAGAATGGGCTTGAGCCAGAAGGAAATTCTTGGAATATGCAATTCCTACAGTACCTATATAACAGGGTGCTTTTTGGCTTTGGAGACGACAAGCATCGAGAAGCACTAGAGTCGTTTGGGCAGCCTTGCTCATTGACGGAGGTGACTGTGTTCCGTTTCGTCCTGCCAGTTGGCTCGCCCTGGTCTCCAAATTGGGTGCGCCGAAATGATGTTGACACCAAGAAAACGCTTTAATTTGGGGGAGGCAGACACTGTACAAAGCTGGTGTGATACATTTTGCCACACAACTCGATTTAGCGCGTCAACTTGAAGTCCTATACATAGATACGCGAAGTGCAGTGAAATAATTGTTGTCGCCGGTTCCGTTGTTAAAGCAATGGAACAACCCTTTCAGGGACCTTGTCCCAAGTTCCTACGACCAGGCTCAAGCTCGATCCTGTGAGACTAATACTGACCGGTGGCCTCAAACCGGCCTGAGATCAGGCATGGGAACCCTGACGGTACATGTTGATTTGGCCGGTTATCTGAGGTTAATACGTAAGAGTCTCGCCGCATCGCTCCAAACGGCATGGAAATCTCGCTCAGAACAGACGAAATTCGCATCATGTGATGTCCCTCAGTCAGCATAGGGAGAATAAGGCCGCGGCGATGGCGAATGCAAAAGATCAGCATGGCATGTGAGCGATGCCGCCCCAGCCTCCTGGCAGATTGTGCTAGATTTAATGCTTCATCATGGCCGTATGATGTCGCGTACAATTGCATACGTGAGTATGCGTCGTGGCCCGTATTCACGCTTATCCGGCCCTATCAAATCCAAGTGTAAATATACACCACATGTGCATCGCTCTAAGGATTGGTACACAAGTGCAGCCTCGATCTGCGCTTTCAAGAGCTAGGTATCTGAGGTTTCTGTCAGCTGACCGTCAGCAGAATACTGTGGTGAGCTCTCGAATGGTGTTCTAGAAACGAGTATTCATTATGCTGGCCCCGTCCAGCCGCCGTAAGCTGTATGAGCAACGGGCCTGCCAGTCCGACATAAACATGATAGCATATGCAACCATGCAACCCTAAAACCCAGAGCGTAATATACATCAATTTGTACGACTGATACATATAAGACATCGCTTCTGATCATTGTACTCAATGAAAACCATTGTGCGCGAGTGCTTCCGCGTTTGGAAGCGTTACCGTACGCGTTCGTCCTCATGTGCATACGCCAATGGCACGCCCCGTCAACCTATGACTTTGTGAATCAATCTGACCGACTTCTTCATGAGCATGATATCATGATAGACGCAGCTTATCGAAAGCGAGGAAGGCGACAAAGATCCGAACCACTGAACCTTTCCCAGTTCCCCAATACCTTTCCACACCGAGCCTATGTTTGCGACTGAGGTATATCTACGTCTTCTGTTCTCGGACGGGGCCTGTGGGATTGATGCATGATGATGCCGCCTCCTAAGTTCGTGGATTACCTGTACTCGAAACTATGGGCCGGACAATCCTTCTAAAATATATCAACTGAGACTACATGAGACTGGCTTTAGCCTGCTCCACTCAAGCGGATCAAAGGTCCTATCCAACTTCAAACAACAAACGAGTCTGTGCTCTACCAGTTTCTGCACTACCTCGAGATCCGACATTATACTAAACGCGATATAGAACCTAAAATCAGAAGCCACTTCTAAGTCTAGCAGAGACATATGGTGGCCGAACGCTCCGTTTTCCCACTAAGCCAACTACGGGGCACCCTTCTCGTCGACGAACCCTCCAGCGTCCTCCGTCTTGCCAGCTGTCCGCATCAAACAGGGGCGACTGTTTGCGGCCGCGAAGCGCTTCCGAACAATCATCGCCACCGGAACTCTCGTCTCAATGGTCTCCTTCAGAAGCAAGTTGTACTGCACGAGGATACTCACGAGGGAGAAGGAGATCGAGACGGTGAAAATCTGCTGGTCGATGTAAATACGCGTCGCCCGAGAGCTGCCCAGTAAGTAGAGCACACTCTGGAATATCGCTTGGGGTATGGACCGGAGGACCAGATCCAGCTGTGAGCGGAAGTCGAAGTACGGAAGCATGGTGTAAATATCCTCGCCCCACCAGAGGTGGAACCCAACTTTATCCGCAAACGCGATGACGTCATAGGCGACAACAGCTGCCGCGGCGCTGGGTAGAGAGATGAGTGCCAGAGGGTATCGCCAGGCGGGGAGTCCGTTCAAAGGTGGCGGGGGGTATGCGTCGGTGAGGTCGGCGAACCAGACCCACTTGAAGCGCGCCTGGCGGGAAAGAGAAGGACGACAGGTGAGGAGACGAGTCTAGTGGAACATGGAGCAAGAAAGGAGACGGAGCGACGCAGCAAACGGAAGGGGAAGAGTGTCCTACTGATAGGAGATGCGCCGCTGCTGATGCATAGTCCAGAATGCAACTTTCCATCCGGGACAGAGTTATATTGCATTCGTGGTTGACGGTTGAAATCTTCGTTAGTGCCTGGGCCTTTAGAAGGCAAGGTAACCAACCGCTGAGCAGGCCGGGTTAACGGCAGCTTCGATTTTGTGGCGAGCTCTAACCCGCATTTCAGAACAGAACAAAACGAGCACTGTGCAAATTCACGTCCGTCGAAGCAATCTGCCTCATAAGGTGTAACGGCCGGCCAGCCGATCGATTGCCAGTCCTTGCACTTGTAGTCACGTCCTTTTTAGTCTCACCTTCAAGATCGAGTTGGACGTTGAATCGCCCCACCAAATCCACGCCACGCACGTGGCGCTGACGAGATACGGTGCGAGGATCGAAGCTAGGACGACCCAAGCCGACCACGCCCCCCAAATGTCCGCCACAACGGTCACATTTGAGGCGAGAGTGCCCCACGGCAGCAGCGCACAGAGGATACTCCATGTATATAAGCCAAGAGTCACAACCGTCTTTTGCCCCGAGGAGTCGCCCTTGCCCGGGAAACCGAGCCGAGCAGCGACCCACCAGCCGAGAGAGCTCAAGAGAATGAGACCGGCAAAGACGCCATACGTAACGGCCACCACCGTTTTGGCCTCCGGGTTACCGCACAGGTTGCCCTCTTGCACGCGCGCAAAGCCGACGCCCGTGTATGCAACTCCGCCCTTACCCAGGTCGATCTTGTCGATAAACCGGCTGTCGTTGAAGAAGTAGGGCCCCCGGCTGTTGTTCAGATAGGGCGACAGGGGGGACTGAAAAGGGAACACCAGAGCCGGGGGATCCCCCTCCAGGATGACGGAGATCCGGTTGAGGCACACCATCTTGCGCGCGTCGCGGCTCAGCTTGGATCCGGTACCCACCAGGTTTACCAGGCAACCGGTCGTTCCAGTGCACGCGTCCCAGAACGTAATGTCCGACACCGGCCCCCGGTTGTACGTTACATACGGGCAGGTCGCAGGGACTGCCGATAGGTCCAACCCCTTCTTGTGTACCCCGCCGCTAAGTTGTAGAACGCGCATGTCGGGGGCGATCAGCGGGGGATCCCTGGAGGTTAGATTGGGGAGGGCGACCACTTGAAGACCGCTGAAGTTGGTTCCCGGAAGCATCGCCAGAGGCCCGTTGTTGCTGAAGTCGAGGAGCGCGCTGTAGACGGGGCTCCTTCGGAAAGGCCCCACTCGGAAGGAGCCCGATAGATTGTTGTTGGACAGGTTGAGTTGCAGGAGGGTTGAGAGCTGCTGCAGCTCTGGGGGGGGGCTGCCAGACAGCTGATTGGAAGACAGGTCCAAGAGTAGGTATGGGGCGTCTGTGAAGGAGAAAGTCGGCTGCAGCTCGGCGACCTCCCTTGGTATGGGGCCCGAGAAGTTGTTGTGGGATAAAAAGACCCCTGATTTCCCAACAAAAAGGCTAGGTGGGATGGTCCCGCTAAAGCTATTGTGCGTGAGGTCCAAGTATGTCACCTTAGACAGGTTTGCCAAGGGTGTAACTGGGCCTTGAAGATTGTTTTGACCAAGATCTAGTACCCCCAGCGCACTGAACGTACTGAACACAACTGGGATCTCGCCTGTAAGTTGACTAGAGCTCAGATCGAGGCTACTGAATCCAGAGATGCTTCCGAGGGAGGGGGGAATGGGTCCAGACAGATTGTTGGAGCCTAGTTTCAAAAAGGCAGCACCCGCAGACCGAGACATGTTGGTGAATGCAGGTAAAGGGCCAGACAGCTTATTGTGGGACAGCTCAAGGTAACCCAGTTCGGTAAGGTCGACGAGCTGAGGCGGTATTGGCCCAGTTAGACTGTTGTTCCTAAGGTTCAGAGTGGAGAGCTTCGTACTCTTGGCAAGCTCTAAGGGAATGGTTCCCGAGAGCAGGTTTGACCCCAAACTAAGATATGTCAGGTTTGGCAGCAGCGCAAGCTCGCTAGGAATGGACCCCGACAAGCGATTCACCGCAAGTGTCACAAACTGCAGCCCAGAGAGGTTGGCCAAACATGCTGGTATTTGGCCTGAAAAGTTGTTGGAGCCCAAATCCAGGTTAACCAAGGTGGACATTTGGCACAACCACTCAGAAGGAATGGGGCCTGAGAGGCGATTATGGGACAGGTCTAGCTTCTTAAGTTGGCGAAGGCCGGCATGAGTGACGGAGGCTAGTGAAGACAAATTGTTGTATGATAGGTCCAACTGTTGCAGCTTGGTCATGTTACCAATCCCAAAGGGTATAGAGCCCGATATGTTGGCGCTGGACAACCTCAGATTGGTGAGGTTGGTGAGGCGGGACACTATCTCCAATGTTTTGCCGGAGGTGTGAAGTCCCGACGTGCCACCAAGGTCCAAAGTCTCCAGCCGTGCTAAATTGCCCAAACAATCTGGGAAGGGCCCCGTAAGGTTTGTGAACGCCAGCTTCAATGTCTGTAGTCTGGACAGTTGGCACAACTCTGGAGGAATGGGTCCCGAGAGCCTCTTGTTGAACGACAAATCCAGCTCCTCAAGTTGGGACAGATTGCCAATCCAGGGGGAATTGACCCCGTAAGCTTCGGTAGAAAGTCCATTTTAAGCGCCCGCAGGTTGCTGAGGCGGCCAATCTCTGGCGGAATCTGGCCGCTGATGTCTGAATTGAAGCTGAGCTTGAGGCTGGCTAGCGCAGTGCATTTGCCTATCTCTGGTGGAATGGGACCTTCCAGCTTCTTGAAGTTAAGGTCGAGGTTTGTAACGTTGTTGAAGTCAGGGCAGCCTTGCAAGAAGCTGACGTTAAAAGCTGCTGCGCCGCTCATCTGCTGTGAGAGCAAGACCACAGCCACCAAAAGGGCCCCCAGGGGAGACATAGCTGGGCGCCCGATAGAGCGCAGGGACGCCATCTTGCACAGGCTCCCCTTTATCGACTTTAAAGAAGCTGCCAGTAAAACTTCCTGAATGTCGAGTCAGCTCGGCGATTGAGGTGCATTGGAGGTGGATTCCTCCCACGATCTCCCAAGAGAGGTCCCTGAGACCTGACTCCCTTTCAAACTGGTCAGTGGTCATCAGTTGCAGGCCTGGAGTCGGACACTGGACAGAGCTAAAGATACCTGAGGCTCAGCATCCGGATTCCAATCATAGTCCCGACTGGCTCCTGCCACCTGACTCCTACTCTAGGGAGTCGGAAGTCCTGACTCCCTAGAAATGTCGTCATCGTTCTGGTCGGGATTTGCGGAGCTCGGTCGCATCACAAGCTTCTTGTTTTTGCAGCGACATTCTGGCCGAAGTCCCTGCTTTGACGTCGCTGGTACGCCTCTAATAAATGCATGCGGAGCACGGTGGACATAAGCTCGTCATGTGGTGCCAACTGGCAACTGGACAGTAAAATCAGACCGAGTCGAATGTAGATTTGCTCGAGTTCGGTCGGACACTGGTTAAGCAGATGCAACGTGGCGTGGCATGTTGAGGTAGACATTGATGACATCATCGGTTCCTACGTATCTAAAGCAAAGGTTTCGCAGCGGTTTAGATCCAGTTCAGACAACGGCTTCCACAGACCCAACTCCATTGCCAACTTTCTTTCGGCGCGCTTGGAGGAGTACCTGCACACGGACCTCTGGACCTCAGTGGCCTAGACTGAAATGCTCATTGGATTGAGTTAAGGGTTTCCCTGGCTGATGTAGGAAGCAATGCCCTTCTCTACAAGTGCAGATTACTTTCGAACCAGCACATGCAACGCCGTCACAGATCGTCAGAAGAGGCCCTTCCGGAATTTGGGGCTGGTTAACGCTCATTCGAACGGAGACTCGCACGCTGTCGACATAGGTACCTGCCAAACTAAGGTTGACTCGAGAGAAGGACCCTTGCGTCTTTTGAGAATTTCAGGAACCGTTGCTGCATTTGGTTTTGATGCGAGACCGTCACGGCTAACGGTTAAAAGGTTACCTTTGAAACTTCAACGGTGAAAACTTCGGGAAGGTCCGTTGGAGTGCTCATCACGGTTGTAGACCGCGCGTCTATTTTGCTTTTCAAACGTTGGATCCCCGCCAATGGCCGCAAATCTCCGCATTTTATAAAGGAGGGCCATACAGTTCCTATCAGTGGACGCCCGCAATCGTCTGAGATGGTGTCCTTACTTCATGACGTCATCAGGAGCTGGACAGCTATCCATGCTTCCAAGATTGCTTCCGATCTTGAGATCTTTCTCTTTCGTGCCTCTCAATTACTTTCTGCATGACATATGAGAAAACATGCTCTAGAGACTGTGAAGCTATGAAGAGCGTCTAGCTTGGACAAGGAATGCAACATGATTGTCAGAAGTCGGGCGAGGAACTCATTTAAATTCACAGATCGAGAGGTCCGAATGGATCTAACGGATCATCGGACGCTCGGCTTGTCCGTGTCGTGTCCACAAGGCTCGGAGGGAGGTCCGGTCGTTCAAATACGATGCAACGCATCCGACTTGACTAGTCAGCAAAGACGTAAAGGTCTGGCCGTTGAGTCATGGTCTAGCTTTGTGTTCGAGTCTTGCACCGATTCAAGCAAGTGGGCAATGCTCGATTCGTCTGTGTCTGTTCTTGTTGTACATCATAAGCTAAGAGTTGGCTCTGTGACCTCTTCACCCTGATCATCAATCTGACGCAACCGTGGTGTAGCTTCCTTCTTTTCATTCACCGGCACACGTTCGGATGCACCAACTCTGACCATGTTCGATCTACTCGTCAGGCAACTGCGAGCTCTTGGCTCGAGGTTCTAGTCTATCTATTTACATGTCGAAATAGCTGCATACTGCATGATTCGCCGATACTTGGCCTTTCCAAGGCTGGATTGAGTGGCCGTTCAGGCGGCCGGACATATAGCATCAGACGGTAATAATTAATACACGAAGCCGAGCCTAGCTGTCTTTATAGTCTCTTCGCTTTATTCATCGAGCCTGATAATATCTTACCCAAAACGTGTGAACTCGCAGGAGCAGCCCAACTCGGACGCATACATCGGTCAAGTATACAGTTGCAAACTTACACAGTAGGTCACGTCATCGTCTTTGTCCCACCCTCTGAAGAGCTATTCTCCATTGAAATGTAGAGCAGCTCATTTTCCCTCAGCTGCTCACCCTCAAGCTCTGCAGTTTCCTACCCACCATTATTGCCAGACCGATTACTCGCTAAGTGAAAAGCAAACACAAACCTTGTTACACTACAGGTACACGGTTCCTACTGAGGAGACCGGGAATCCGCATGCGCTTACTCATCAAAATATCTGCACTTAGTGCGCTGCCGGCGCTCATTTATCATACTATGTTCTCAGTGCGCAGCCGACACGTCATCCATGAGCGCTTCGATAGCTGCCTCCGTTGCTGCCCGGGGCGTATGCACCACTTCCTGCTCCGTTTTACTCCTCTCAGACTCCGCTCCGCTGCTCTTGCTCAAATTGCTTGGTCCAGGCGTCTTGCTTTCTGCCGCCGGTTCCCTGACCGGGGTACCGGGCACCGGGCTGTCTGCAGGCTTCGGAGTGCTGACGACACTGCCCGGGGACTTTGAACCGGGCGCCTCTGTGGCTGGGGTCGGGGTTCCGGCCGAGCTGGCAGCAACCGCGGGAGAAGACGGAGCCGCAGGATGCAGCGGAACAGCGGTTGGCAGAACGGGCTTCGCGAAGGGGTCCTTGCTTGGATCGACGGCTGCAGATTGAGGCAGATTGGAAGTAAGAGTTGAGCTGCGCTGAGCACGACATGCTGACGGTCAGAATGCGGAGGCTGCGGGCTAGATTTGCGCCGAAGTGCTTTTTCTGATTCTCTGATCAGTCTCAAGAGAGATCGTGTTTCGCTTGCGTCGTTCAAGTCAAGTAGCGTGATGCAGCTGTAGGATCATGTCTTCCAAAGCTTCTCGAAGGACCACAATACGTTAGGCAAATAAGCAATCACTCAATGCAAACCACCTGGAATAAAGATGGAAGGAAATCCTGCAGACGCTTCTGTGAGACGTCTACGTTCTTGACATGTCGCCGGGGCTGTCACCAGGAGCCCTACACTAGATTGCTTTGCAGCCAAGGCAAAACGTAGAACTCCTCTTAGATTTGTGCTTCTAAGGATTGAGGGATCCACAGCATGCCGAGGGAACCTCTCGGTGTTCAAAGCTCCCAGAGTCTGACGCACATCCACAATGTCTCTCCTATGTCTGAAGCGGGAGTACTCAGTGTCGAGCCTTCCATCGTCCTCTTCGTCATTAAGACCGAAGCTTGCAACACAATTCCGGAGATAGATTCGAGGCGAGTAATCACAGAAATGTGTGATTGCAAAAGTACGTGTTGATATATCCAGTGCAAAGGTGTGTCACAGGAATCCATTTTTCAATCCAACTTCGAGCTCCTGCAAGTCAACACAAGAAGGGAGCTAAAGCGGGAGCTTACTGGCCAGAGGGCTTTTCAGTGGGGGCAGCTTATTTTGAGACAGCCGTTTGGTAAGCATCCCATCACTTGAAGGGGTACTTGGCAGCTCATTCGCAGCCTGCATGGTGGAGAACAGTCAAAGGTGGTCATTATGTATTTTCCTTCTTTTAATGTGCAAGTTGGTGAATCATAGGCAGGTCTCTTATAAGCAGAGTGTGGTCTGTTGCTAGGCAATATGCGCTGACAAACCACCGCCATCAGGAAAGACTCTATGGATGCACGTTCATTCAATGAACAATCAAGTCCGCGGTTTCTCTTCCTTCAGACCGAGCCTCCCCCAGAGCACAAAACGGCTGAGCTGCTGTCTGTAGAAAGGTACTCTAGCAGGTACTCAGTTTGACAAATATGAAAGTTGTAAATTATAAGCAGAGATGCGGGGGCAGCGGCAAAGCTGTCCCAATGCTTGGAAAAGGCCTCATAGTTCTTAAGCACATTTTTTGCACAAATGAGTACGCAAAGACAATTTGGAACTAGCCTTAAATTAAATCCATCAATTTACAAGGGAGATTCAAGATCTGCGTGCCACATATAAGTACTTCAGCCCTTTTCGAATCTGCATCATTGAGCAGCTTGGAGGGCAAGCCTTCTTGCACGCCTGGCAGGACGCTGATGCTTCAATCATCGGTAAAGTAAGTTTTAACTTCTCTGCCTGTTGCAGGATGCATATTACCAGCTCAGAGCAGCTTCATAAGAATCTTAATCAGAATCTCAGAAGGGTGCCAATCATCCACGCAATTCATCTGCATACCTACCACCTTTGGCAGGGCTCTTTCCTGAACTCATCAAAACTATCATCAAAACTGTCATCAAATTGGTCAAGATTCAAGTCGCAATGCATCCACTTGCCTGAGCTCCTTCGGCTGGTTTCTCCCCTGAAGTTGCCACACTCTCAGTGCCGCTCTGTTCACCAGCTTCCTTAGGGGCCAGCTTTGCTGGCTCCGCAGGTTTCACGTCGTCTTGCTTGACTTCGATATTCTGCGACAGCTTAGAAGGGGCCTCTGGCTCCGATTTGGGAGCTTTCGCCTGAGCTGAGGATGAGACATCTGGTGGAGGACTGTGACTTTCCTTAGGAGACTTCTCTGCTTCTGCTGGATGCGTGCTCTGCTCTTCAGCACTGGACGTTCCTGCAGAGAGTTCCTCTACAGGTTTCTGAGAAGCCGCTTGGCTCTCACCGCTAGGAGGATCGATTTTTGTGGCTGTCACGATGGCCTTGTCTCCAGCTGCAGAGGAAGCTCCGCAGCCCATGATGCTAGGTCAATCAGAGCCACAAAGAAAGCACCTGGATCTTTTTTCAGGGGACAGTAAAGACAAAAGGGGTCCGCCTGGCTCCTTGAACCTGCGCGCTTCCTCGTCTTGTTCTTCGATAACTAGCGTAGAGAAGACCGTCTGCCAAGCACTTCAACTACCTTGTGCTACCCTGTCAACGCCCAGAAAGCCGCCAAGCAGGCAGCAAGCAAGCTTCCAATCATCAACTTCAGGCTTCCAAGTTCACGTTCGGGTTGTACGCCGGTGATATTTAACTATTTAGGTATATAAGTATTAGGTCCTAGTCTAGGTATCTGAAATTTAAGGTTGCTGAACCGTCACCCTCAAAGTTGGAGAAATCGGACTCAGCTGTGCCGACGCGCGGCTCACGGTTTGCCTATTTCATTCGCACGGGGTTGGCGCGCGTACAACAAGTATAGATACTTCAATGCCGTCCGATGTGTTTCCCAAAACCTTCGTTCGTCGCGTGCATCGTCCGATCAAGTACAGCAGAATGGCAACGTTTGAGTCCGTCAGTTCCTGCCGAATAGCTATCGGCATTTATTGTGACTGTGCCGGGTCCGTGTTAGATTTGGGGATTTGGCCAAAGTCTGCATCCTGGATACACCAGAAACCTCGGGTTTTGTGCCTGCTGTGAGCGGTGCCGTCTTTCAAGAGCTCAATCGAACATCCTGCAGCTCAGCTGGAGCTCAGTCTTGCCACGCAGCCATCATAGCTCTTGATCTGCAGGCCGTTATTTATGTATGCAGCACCAGTTCAATCGACAGAGCCTAATCCAGTAACGGGACATCCTGGGCATACCTACATAGCTTGTGCTCACCCATAGCTCGATCATTCATGAAATCCAACTTAGGCTGCAACACGCGGTGCAGAAGCGAAGAGCTGGCCATAAAATCACATGTGTTTCATGCCGGGCCCTGAATATGTAATCCATGCCCGGCCAACACGTACGCAGCCTGCCGCTGCGGCGGCCATATCGGCCATGTTATCTTTGCCGCGCAGCTGACTTCTGCATGGCGCATTCGAGTTCAACCTATCATGAGCATCTACAACTGACGCGGCTGCCTTTATCCATGCATGGTACTTGATTACCTACATAAAACAAGTACTAATGAGTAATCCTAAGCAATTCAACATGGACGTACTGGCATGGCAAATGCAGACACCAATTCGTTGAATCAGCGATCTGATTCTACCATGGTTAACCAATTAGATGGACCTGTCACGTCGACTAAGTTGCTGGGGGGCCGCCCGCGAATTAACATTGTCGGACATCAGTGCATGATCATTTGATGTGTATATGCAACTTGGTCGAAGTATAGGACCCCGGGTCTATATAGTGGCTACGTAATACATCTGCCAGAAGAGTGACGATTGGACGAGCTACTAAAATGCATGTTTCCTAACAATTTTCCCGGCGCAATGACAAACAGGAGTGCGTGCCTGCGCGATGGTGGCATGCTGAGGGCAACAAGCAGCCTTAGTGCATCATCATGAGATACGTGTGCGAAAAGCTTTGGTTCGTGGCGCGGGCTGGATCACACATGCACTGTGTGCGTGCACCTACTCAAAACTATGGCGTACTCATGAAGCGCGGCGGGCCTGGGCAACCTACTAAGAGCTAGCTGGTTTGAGGAACGGTTCTGCACACACGGCTACGTAGATCAGTTGCATTGACCTCAGGCTTTTAGTGCTCTAGCTAGGCATGTGGCATGGGCTGTGAGTATCATTACGAGCATACTCATAGAATAACATTGAGCTCGAACTTGCATCCCACAACCAAGCCAAGTAAAGCACTGCACAGCTGCGCGCCATCACTTTCTGGACGTATCTGACTGGACGCACATCATCACATGCGTCACACTTCTGCATCAAAAAGTCGGTCGACAGGTAAACGAGAAAGGCTGTCAGTCAAAGCAGAGTGACAATAAGGTCCAGCGCGGCCGCAAAATCAGTCGCGACCTACTCAAGGTTCTCAACAAGGGCTTCACTGCCCCGGCTCATCCTCATCGAGTCCCCAGTCTTCTTCAGCGTCTTCTCCTGCGGGCGCAGCTTCGTCTTTATGCTCGGGCACCGCTTCTGAAGGGTGCTCCTCGAGCTGCGCGTCCTCTTCCGGCCCGGCTGTCGCAACTGCATGTTCCACAGCCTCTTCTTCGTCCACATCCTCAGCGGTGCCTTTCGCGCCCAAATGATCCGCCTGCACACAAAAGAGCAGCTCGGTTACCTCACAAGTATTAAAGAACACGCTCTCTGGCAGGCAAACTTGCAGTGGGCCGTCAAAGATCAATTTCTCGTTCCAAAGTAGTGCCACGTCCATAATCTCTTGTATTCGCAGTATGAGCCAACATGTTGGCCCTCTCAGATCATTGTGCACAGTGCCACTCCTGAACGACAACTTGAAACGATGAAGGCCGAATCTACAGCCAAGTTCTATCGTGCAGACTTGTACGGACAGTCATGCCACAGCTTTTCTTGTTTCGTCCTTCATGATACGGGCAAACCCACGGGCAAACCCTAGCATTACCAGAAAGAGTTAGCACCGCAAACCGATTTCTGCGCCTGGAAGGGACACTTCTGCAAGGCAGGTAGAGGGCCGATCGCCATACCGCCCGATCTCTTTTTGAGTAAGTACCAGAGGGGATTGGTGAGATGTGGCGTACCTCCTCAGCGTGCCCGTTCTCCTCAGCGCCGTCCAGGGACAGCGCCTTGAGCTCTTCGATGATGTCTACGCTCGTCTGCCCAATGGTCTGCGGGTATGAGCCGGCCAGCGCCCGATGCTCTCTGCAGAAAACCAAAGCGCTTTTAAGGACACGCATGCTCATCAGATACGAGTTTGTGCACATATAGCGCTGAATCACGTAGCCTCAGCAAAGAAATCTGATGTTTGAACTCTTTTTCAGTCTTCCATGTCTCGAAGAAGCTGTGTCTCATTCTGGTACTGCAACATAGTACCGTTTGAGTAATCTCGTGAAGCTCACACTAAGACCATGGTGATGGAAAACCGATCAACTTTCCTCAACACTTTCAGAAAGACTGACGCTGTGGATGTCAAGTGTCGATGCTCTGCACAAGATGCACGTAAAGGATGGATACCCGTCACCCAGTGCAAGAAAAGACACCCTCCTAACAAAGTACAGGGAAATCAGAAACACCGAGAGTCGAGACCACAAATAACGACCTTCCAATCAAGAACACTCACAACTTCACACTGCCCGCTTCCTCTACATCCATCACCATGCCCACCTTTGCTTGTTGAAACGCGCCTCCGCCTTGAGCGCCCAGTCGAAGTTAGCGAAGAGGTGGGGGTACTCCGCGGGGTCGGCGAGCGAGTCCGCCGCCTTCTGGTTGATCTTGGCCAGGTCTTGCCGCCAGAGCGCCACCACCTCGGACACCTTGCTGGGCATGTACGTCCGGGCGAAGAACGCCGCCTCCGGGACGCGTTTACTGCACAGCAACGGAGCCCAAAAAGGTTGGTACCGGCCACTGCCTTACTGGAACCGGTTATGGTGTGAGTCCTGGTGTGAGAGGGCTTCTGGCACCTGTGTTGCCTTGACAGGACACCCTGGTGACCTATGGCATAAGAGATTGGCTGCAGGGGGACTTCTTCCTCTCAGACGTCAATGTACAAACACGCAAGAACAGTGACAGTACCAAGTACGTTCGCGCAACCGTGCCGCCACTGGTGGTTCCACAGCAGAACCACCTGAGGCATGCCAGAACCCTGCGGATTCTGCGACGATTACCAATTCAACCTTGCAGATTCATCCGCTCAACAAGAGCAGTCCACCAATGGGCACTGCACTGGAAGGAAGTGAGGGACGGGCAGAAGAGACAGGAAAGGCGGTATTGAGAGGAGCAGGCATTAAGGGTCCAGTCAAAAGCTCGAGAAGAGGAGGAAGTTGAAAAGACAAAGGGGAGAAATGTCGAAGGGAGAGAGCGAGCCTCACCTGTCAACGAGCAGGTCGATACACCGCTCGATGGAACCCAGTAGGAAGAAGGCCAGGAAGGCCACGTTGTTCTTGCCCTGATCCACGGCCTTCTCCGCCAGGCCGAGCACTCCGTCGGCGTTTCCGGTGGCGGTGTACAACAGCAGGAGGCCGCTCAGGTCGCTGGCGGACTTGAGGCACGACTCCGCCAGCTCCAGCTATAAGAAAGCGGGTTAAGGAGGCGGGGTTAGTAGAAGGCACCAAATAATGAACAGTTGAGTAGAGATGGGATAGCGGGTTATTGTGATACTGCAGCGGGAGCCCGCTCAGATTTGCTGACGAACTCGAGGCACGACTCCGCCAGCTCTAGCTGAAGGATAAAGAGGGTTAAGACAGGTTAGCAGAGTGCACAAAGAAGCGAACGCGTGATGAAGTAGGGTAGCGGTCATCTGAAAGTATAACGCAGCAAGAGCACGCTTCGCAAATCTGAGCCACAACTCTGCCGGCTCCGCCTCTTGAAAGGCGCAGAATGAAAAGCGGTGGTCAGCTCAAGAAGCCGGTTGGTGGAGGTGCACACCTTTTAGGTACCTAACGCTGTAAGTGACTATGACTGAATTTTCCAGAAAAGGGTGTATCGTGATGAATTCACAGCGACCACAACTACACCGCATCAGCCGCGACTTGCCATCGAAGCAGCTTGGAAAATTGAGTAATAAAACACATGGGACCAAGAAAGTGAGTCGGGATAAGTGAGTTGAGAGGAAGAGAAGGTCATCGACCACAGTCTCAGAAGAGTGGCTCAATACAATCTCAGAGCTCTGGTCAATGATTGGATTGAGGATAAGCGAGTCTACTTATGCGGGTAGAGAGATTCGGTCGAGAGACGTCGGCTGAGAACGAGAAGCTGACAAGGAGGTCGAGAGAAGCGGGGCGAGACGAGGTTCAGTGCAAGCGGGTCAGCAAGAGCGACACAAGAAGAGGTCGAGAAGGCAGAGTGTGCGAGCAGGTAATGAACTACGCCATGCTCTCTGCAACCCTGTGTCTGGTGCCTCTTCAACCAAAGCGACTTTGCAAATAACAACCAAACACAGAAAAGTCCCAAGAAGCTGCACAGAATCACGCTCTGCAGTACAGCATCAAGCGCAAGGAGAAGAACTTAAAGCGTTCCAGCTGTGTTCCGTTTTACCTTTCCTGCTGACATGGCAAGCTCCCCGAGCTGCTTCCACTTGGACTCGCTCTGCGCCTCCTCCGCAATGTGCTGCAAGGCAATGGAAACAAGAATGTCAAAGTCTCGGCTACTTGTAGCGGGGACTCCTGTTCGACATCTTCCTGTTCTCTTATGGGGCTTCAAGGGGCTGTGCAGGCAAGAAATACAAGTGGCACTTACATGTACTCAAACGCTGTCAATACTGCCATTGCAACCAGATGAATCGGAACTACAAAGGATCCGAATTCATTCACGGGCCAAATGGGGTGCCGCCCTCAAAAACACCTCAAGAGCATGCCCATGCAGCAAGCAAATACGGGGCATATCTCCACGAGAAACTTCCTGAAAGCAAATATGCTCATTGCAGCAATTGTCTCCGCATACCCGTTGCCAGAAGCAAGCTCACCTGAGCGATGTCCAGCTTGTTCAGCGACACTGCAAGGTCGAACTTGTAGTCGGGATCCGTCGCCACCTCAAGCGCCTGCTCGGTGAATCCTCTGGCCTCGAGGAACTTGGCAACACTGCGAGCAAGCGAGGAAAGCAAGTCAGGCTAAGTTGACTTCGAACTTCAGTGGAACGTGAGGATAGATGGCAAGTAGGAAAAGCCACGCTGTAGGCCCAGGAAGTAGCCCAAGCTTTTGCACGCTCTTGAACTTCCAGCCAGCCGTTTGCCAATTGCAACAAGGAGCGACCTTGACCAGTGTACCGAAAACTGAAAGCTTGATGAACAAAGCTATTCTAAGGACTTGTTGTTAGATAGATGATCTAGCGGGCAGTTCCGACGACAGTGCCTCCAAAGGGAAGGTTTAAAAGCGCGACGCAATAGAGACCCAATTGATAGCTTGCCACAAATCGTCGAGAGCGCGGGCAGGAATTTCGGCAGATGACTCACTTATTGAGCTGGTCCTTTGGTATAGACTCCAGCACCTTTTCGGCCTCCTCCATGTCTCCTCGCAGAACCAGGGTCTTGTACTCGATGAGGCTCAGCAGCAGCGTGTAGCTCACGACACTGCAAGAAGCAGGGAAAGAATGCACATGAGGTTGTCCTGGCTGCTTCATTGCTTGATGTGCGAGCTTTATAAGCCTCATGGAGGGCTCTCGCCTAAAGCACTGATTTGAAGGCTGGCAATGAGCATGGCTTAAGAAAGCACTGGCAAGAACAAGCAATACATCTCCTGGGTGACCAAGAATGTCCCCAACTGCCCACCTTCGGAAGTAAGCAATTGCTCAGTGAAGCTCCTCGAGGGTTCACAAAAGACAGCCTGTTCACTAGGCAACGACTCCCCTGCCTTTCTAAGGCAAGGGACATGACCCGAGCGGACAACAAGTGAAGCCAGCCGGTGCAAAGCACCAGAGAGAAGACGCTGCACATCGCAGTCACTTTCTTAGGAAATAGATGGCCGGGAATAGCAGGCCGACAGCGATGGGAGGGCGGCTCACTTGAACTCTTTGTCGATCAGATACACTCTGCTCTGACTTTGCAGGTAGCCCAGGAGGTACATTGGTCGGTCCAAGTGAAACATGGTCGTGATCTGCAACCATTCAAGCAGCGTGAGTTAGACTAGCCCCCTGATCTCCTGACTGCATCAGCTTCTTGAGTCTGGCGTCGTCTGGAGCTCGGAGCAGGGGCACTTACCTGCTACCAAGATGCGGGCTGTGGTAAGTAATAGCATAATTACGAGATCCACGCGTTAGTCAGTGTGACACGTTGTATCAGTCGTTCTTTCCATGCAATGATTGCTCACCCTACTCAGGCAAACTGTGATGCATGTGGACAAAGTTCTCGACTTCCGGAGCTTCAGGCCACACCTTTAAGTCACCCTAACGGCAAGTTCCACCTTGAACTTCGGCCCGATCTAATCGCAACGCCTTTGCCAATTGCTTCCAGCAGAACCGATCAAAGACGTTCTCCCTTAGAGACGAGCTTGACACCGCCGGCGCGAACATAGATACATAGATGCTGCCTTTCATCCGCAAGTTGCTCACTATGGTTTTGCAACTAGCACCCCTCTTGACCAAGCAAGATTGATTTCCAAGTCCGGGTTGGACATACCTCTCCGCCAACGACGTAGTTGAGCCGCCAGGCCGAGTTGTTGTAGATGAAGCAGTCCCCGACCCAGACCCCAGTCCGCACCCGCTCAGGGACGTCATGCAGCAGCTCGAAGGCCTCCTCCAGGCCCTGCTCGTCCACGGGCTTGTTGCTGCCCAGGTACGACTCCACCAGATCCCGCTGCGAAGTTGAACCAATTATCAATTCAATGTCTTTCAACAGATGCAGTGGTCTTTATAGACTGAAGTTTCATGCAAAGGAACATGTCTCCGAAACTCTGCAATCGCTCAACAACGTTCGTTCGTTTATTCGATTGTCTTGCGACAGATTGCTACATACTACTTACATCAGGTGAATCTCGGGCCCCTGTTGCTAGAGACGGATATCATTCTGACCAGGGGTTGATAGGTTTGAAATTGGCCGAATCCAGGCTCTCGTCGAAACCAGCAAATCTCGCATCAAACGCATTGGGCGACTGCTGTTGCGACATCCGGGCACTGCACTTCGGGAACACGAGAATGTTTGGACGCGAGGATCTGGACAGTCGATTCCCTGATCTGCTTTAACACTTCTCCAACTTACCCGATACTTTAGGATGTAGAAGTTTGTCTCGCCTGCAATTGCCACTAGCTCTCCGCTGTCCGACCAGAAGATGTTCTGCAGAAAGAGGCAAGCAAGCGGATATGGATCGAGCTGAACGTGAACTTATATATCAGATGCGACACAAGTTCGGTCCCCTAGAATGACTCCCGCCACAACATAGCCAGAAAAGGCCTACAGCACGACGCAGCTTTTTGCACGAAACTGCTGGCAACTGAAGCCTCTCACTCGCGCTGTCACAAGCCTGTAGAAGCCTGCTGTTTGATCGGCAGTAAAAGGAAGAATTGGCACCCACCAGTGGGGAGACACTTCTGCAACGCCTCTGCTGATGTAAGCAGTCAAGCACAACGAAGTCGCACGTACCTTCACATCAACGTCGATCCGCCTGATCAGGCGGCACTCCTGCCAGTCGTAGAACACAATGAACTCGCTCGACTTGATAGCAAGGAGAGTGCCTCCAAAGATGCCTTCAGCTGAGAAGCTTGGCCGAATGCTCTTCCGCTCCTGCAGTTGGAAGGGACGACTTGAGCGACTTCCAGAGACGACAACACTTACCATGATCAATGAGAAGATGGAGAACGATTGAGGTTAGGCAGACGAAAGACGTGGCAAGGGAGGAAAGTCGAAGCTCCTACGCGTTTCTGTTTCGTTTCACTCTGGCTGTGCAGCGATGAAAGTACGAGGGGCGGCCCTGCTCACCACGAAGGTCTTGTTGAAGATCTTGATCTTCGACGTGCTCTCCCGCACTGCATACTCGCCATCATACGACCAGCAGATCTCCAGAGCCGACCCGAACGACCTGTTTCTCCAGGCCAGCGCAGTGTAGATAATGTACTCCCCGTCACCGCATACGACCACGAAGCGGCCATTCGGGTTGTGACTCAGGCTCTGCACAGAAGGAGTAAGGTCAGAACTAGCTAATATTAGCCAGCACATAGGGGAAAAGAACGATTCTGCCTGTTGACAACTCCGCAATTTGCCTGGGTGACCACCACTAAATCAGCGCAACTGTGCAATTCTCCTTGCAAATCGGACATGCAGAAGGTTCGTTTTGCGGTTCATTGCTTGGCATTCACAACTGAGAGCCATCAGCCGCCACATTTGAGAAGTAAAGGAGAGCCTCCTGCAAGCTCTGCCGCCACAGCACAAGCTGACCAACAACCTTGGATAAGTTCGCAATCATCTGACCAAGGACGTGCACTTCATAGGAATGAAGGAAGAGCCTGATACGAAGAAGGTCTCAGCATGAACGTGCTATTATCAAGGGCTATATAAGCGTATTTTGGGAGGTTCAGCGTGGAGGCGACAACAGAAACTGCTTTCAAGAGGGGCTCTCACCTGTGGATACAGGTCACAGCTGCCCAACTCCTTGACAGCAAGCGGCAGCCTTTCCCCGTCAGTGACCTGAGCACAACAGCACACCGGCTTAGAAACCCCCAGGCGTTTTCTGCAAATGTACAGAGACCTCCATCTTCGACCAGTTGACGGCTAGATATGGCAAAGCGCAGCTACATGCAAGCTCGCTGGAAACATGAATCAAGATAATCGGACACCTTCTCATCGCTGCAGACCCCTGCAAACAGATGTAGACTGCAAAAGAGCGGTGGGAGCAACACGACCGGCCGCAAAACAACCACCCAAGAGCTCACCTCGACGTCCGCAGGCACCGCCTTCACGTTGACCGTCTGAATCTCACTATGCTTTGCCCAGATGATCTTGCCACTGTTGTCCATGCTCGCCACCGGCTCCTCGCGGCCGATCTTGATCATGATGGTACCCTCGTCGTACCCGATCGCCACCCTGTTCGAGCCCTTGATGTATGCAAGGGCCCACACACGCTCCAGAGCGTAATTGAGAGTGTTCTCAAGCCTGGTACACAAGAGGGCACTGAGCTCAGGATTGAATTGTAAAAAGTGCACCAACAGCTTTGCAATCCTGCAAATCGTCAACTCTGTCAACGATGATGTTGCCTGTACGGTACGGAGTAGACACGCTTTCCTGCAGCTCAGTGGCTCATTCAATAAAGGCAGGTTCTGTGTTGTGGGGATTGGACCAGGCCCCAGTAACGCAGAAAGAAAACCGGGTAAAACAATCACCAAAAACGAAGGACTTCCTTACCTGTAGGTGGTTGAGTGCCATATTCTGACGGTGCCGTCCTCCGACCCCGAGATGATGATCGGCAGCTCAGGATGGAAGCAGACTGCCGAGACATTGTGAGTGTGCCCCTCCAGCGTTTGCACGCAGCTCTTTGTCTGGTAGTCCCAGATCTGCAAACAAAGATTTGCTGGGTGTAATGCGTGTTGAGCTTTTATCCTAATGCAAATAAATGGGACAAGATCTGATTGGTGCACACGAAAAGATGGTGACAGAATCTGCCATGACAAGGTTGGCGCCCCAACCTGAAACGCACGTCTGTGTGGATCACAGCAGGTGCTGATAGTGTCTGGTGACTCACCTTCACCAACTTGTCGTCAGCACCTGTGATCAAGTACGGTCTGTCACCGCCACTGAAGTAGTCCACGCAGTTCACACCTTTCTCATGCCCCTCCAGAGTGAAATTAGGGTTTGGAGAACCCAGACTCCAAACCTGTGGGGCACGACAACAATAAGCAGGTCAAAATCAAACACTTTTGAGGACAAGACGACTCAGGCTCAAACTTCTAAGCACGGCATCACACATGAAGTTTTTGAGACTCATGGTGTGGTAAATACATGCCAAGATGAGCGTGCACTCCCCTTCCCCCCTTGTTTGTCAGGTTAAGGGGCAAGACGAATGGATTACTGCTCACCTTGATTGTCCTATCCAACGAGGCACTGGCGAAGGTGTTCGTGTCCTTGGGGTTAAATGCCACTTGCATAACGTAGTGCGAGTGGCCCTCGAATATCTGAGTGCACTGCCAGCCCTTGTCCCAATCCCAGAGCTTGATCAGCATGTCGTCAGAGGAGGAGAGGACGTAGGGGAGGGACGGGTGGACCGCCACGCAGCGGATGTAGTCAGTGTGCGCCTCAAACGCCTTCACTTTGTCCATCGTGTTGTAATTGTACACACGGATGAACATGTCGTCGGCCCCAGCGACAATCCATTGCTTCCGAGCGATGAATTTTGCTGATCGGACTGCAACAGAGATAGCTCCACTTTCAGTGTTGAGTACACGAGGAAGGCCCAATCCTGCTCCATATGTGCGTACACTGTCACACATGAATGAGAGAGGCTGATGTCAGAGAAGGTAGAAACAATGCTTCACATCGATCCAGGTTCAAGGGCTTACCTGGGAGCTCTGTAACCTCAAAAGACTTCACCAATTGCTGCAGGGGGCACGGAACTGTGGTGAGTAAGATGGCAAAAATGTCACAGCTGCTCAATCTATCTCTCAGAACCAGCTAGACCACTGATCAGCTGACTCACTTTGACTCACTTTGAAGCGACAGAGCACACAGAATGATCCAAAAATCGAGCAACTTGTGAGCACCCCAGGTTAGCATGTTCAAAAACGTACTAAGAACTCAAGAGCTTCCAGGCTTGATGGGAAAGGACTTCTTCTCGCAGCACATAATGCACTGACCTGGTTCTGGTGGTTCCAGATGAAGATGTTTCCATTGTACAGATTCGCCAGGATCCTGCACACAACAGGATGGACACACCCCTTGTCAACATGAACCTGCCCTCCTCTGAAGGAGATTCAGACGCTAAAATCGATAATGCAGGGTGCTATTTGCTGTATTGCAAAACCGATCAAATGCAAAACTCATCGAGGGGTGCCGGATGTGTGGCTCTGAAAGTCACATCCTCCTTTCTGTGAAAAAGCGCCAATCCTGACGCTCTGAATCAACCTGCCAGATCAACTGGCCAAGCTTCTTGCAAGTGCGTGCTCTGACGCTGCACACCCAAATGAGGGCCGCCACGCCTGTGGCCCCTATCAGTCTCGCAGTCCCCTATCGGGAGATTCATGCCATCTCTTACCATGGTTCAGTCGGATGTAGGTCAACCGACTTGACTCGGTCAGAACGTTGAGCGAGTTTTCTCTGCAAAAAAGCTGTACATCAAAGATAGACAAGATACACCTGAATTATGCACACAAGCACCAGCACAATCCAGGAACAGAATGCAGAGTCAATCAAAGAGCATAGTGAAACAATTATTGCCATGATGGAACTTGCAACCAGTGAACCTTCGATGTTGGACCAAGAGCAGGTCAATTGGGCTGGTGCGGATGGGGAATGCAGACTCGAAATCTCACCTTGATCTCTAGTCGGAGCGGCTACAATGACAGCAGGAGAAAACGAATCAGTCTTGGCACATTCGAAATGAGGTGGCTGGTAGGACACAATCAATTCTAACAAAAACAGCGGGCATACTTTCAAAACTGCCCCACCAGCCATCAGAAGGAAAGATTTTTCACCCAACGAACTCAGCAAGGCTTGCATTTGAGCAGATCATCCAGCTCGCATTCTAAAAAGTCCGCTTACCATCTTGGCGGTCAGGTCTTGCCAGCTTATTGAGCACTGTCAATCCACAATCTTTCTCGCGGGCAAGAAATGAGAATTTCTTAGGGCTGCAACACCGGGATCCTCAACCCCTTCTTAGCCCTGGCAGCTAAAAACCCCACGCCAAGCCAGAACGTAGGCGCCAAGGAAAGGGGTCTCGATCAGCTCAGAATCCAGCAGGCTAGGTCTGGGTCTGACTGCGAAAAACTCAAGAGGGATGTGTAGATCGTAGCGCCAACTAGAGTAGGTAGTCCAAAACCTTGACTTTCAAGAACTCAACAGGTCGTAACGTACGTTTGCGTCCATACCGGCGTAGGGGTGGACATTGGCTGCTTGAAGACCCCCCAACAAACAAACGGATAAGAAATTGCGTCAGGGGGCACTTAACGCCCGCAAAAGTGTAACCCCTCCACGGTGGTTTCAGTCAAAACTGCTGATGTCACGCTTTCCTTGTCCAATTAGAGCGACATATGTAAACAGGTGTCGTCCAACCCTGGGCTCCCTTATAATACGCTGGTGTTTTGAGCTGTTACAAGACCTAAGTATGATATCATACGCTCTTGTATTCATATACTACTTCGAAGGCTAACAAGCTTATTTCAGGTCTGAGAACCAGTCAATTTACTCGTCAAAAGCAGCGGACTTCGAAAGGTTATTCATTTCGAAAGGCATAAGGGCTTGAAGGGTGCGTGACGTGCGACCACCGCTGGCCGAGGCGTGGCCGAAGCTTCTGCAGCCTGCAGCTCTCCACCTTCCTTGGCCCAAGGCAGCTCCTGCAGAAAAGATGAAGATTCATGTCTGTTCATTGTCTTGTTGAATGCATGCATCGCCTGTTCCTGAGTTTTGAAGGAAACATCTGCTTACTTTCTTATCCATAAGCAAGCAGTAGTGGTTCGGAGAGGAAGGCGAATTGGTGGCTCATTGTCTGGTGTTGCCGTCAATTGCACCCTATCTAGCAACTGCAAAATGAAGGGCGCTCAAGTGTTCGTCGTTCTGTTGGCGTTTGCCACCGCTGCCGGAGCGGCTGCATCCGCCCCTGAACCTGCTCCGTCCCCAAAGTCACGAGTATGGTGAGGAGTCTTTCAAAGCTTCTGATTGCATGTGCCTGGCAGGCAATGTTGACGCATTCATTGATGTGTATTGCTAATTTTCAGATTCAATGGCTTCGTTGCCCAGTTGATTCAGTCATTTGCATTTCTGGCTGGTCTTCCATACTTCACCACTCCTTCGAAGGAATCCACTGTTTCAGGTTTGTGAGCTGCATTCATTGAACATGGGTGTGCAGCTTTCTCCTAAGCTGCTCAAAAGCATCATCTTAAGTGCAAAAGTTATAAAATGAGAGGTACTCCACTTATGCTGTGCTCTCCTTTCACCAGAGAGACAATATTCACAGCACTTAAGAACTTCTCCCTCCTGGCAGTACATGAATAACTTGATTGATGTGCTAATGGAGCGTAACTTCTCCTGAATGCATTCCCCTCAAATGTTGCAGTGTGCCAGACCACTGGCAGGGGCTTTCCTTCACTCGGGTGGAAGGAAGTAAGTGTCTTTCTTCAACCCACCTCCTCTAAGTTAATGTGTATGTGAAGGTTATCGGGACACTCCCCTTCAGGTTCGTTTGGAGAAAACGATTGCTGCACTAAGTCTTGCCAGACGTTCGTGCCCTGGTTTTCCACTGATTAAAGCTTCGTTCTTTTACATTCTCTGATTTGACAGACGACTTGTTGGGATGAAGGCCTGTAAGTTATGCTTGATATTGTCGTAGGCTTTGAAAGTTGGGACTCTCCTCTGGCCCTGGGAACTTGTATCGGTATACCAGCTTTCTGGATTGAACATTTGTGCTTCTTTTGCCACCTTGTAGAGTCTGCTTTGTGAATCCATAGCCTAAAGAGAAATCTAGAGTGAGACCCCTCTAGTCAAGCTTCCCCTTACAGCTTCTTTGTCAAAGCATGCTGGATGCTGTTACAAGTCCCTTGCACCCTGACGCCAAACTCTCTCTGCTCCCAGAGGGTAAGATGATCCTGGCCAAGTCTGCCGTCGATGTGGACAGCCAGAAGGCCGCCTCTGAGTTCATCGCTTTCGGAGGCCATCATCACCATCATCATCACCACCACAGGGCTGAGCTCGCCTCTGAGACTCAAGACGTGGATGAGACCCAGGACATGTCGTCCCTGCTGAACACTGATGAGGACCTGGCTTCCGTCGCCAAGAAGCACGGCAAGGGCGTGGTGAAGGTCATCGCTGACTTCTCAAAGGTAGGTACTTCCATATCTTTCAATTGCTTTTGACCAAACCCAGCAGATGAATTGGTTTGGCGCTCTTGCTGTGATAACAACAGCTGCGCATTCAAGCCAAGGGCAAATCTTTTGAACTTGATGGTCCAGGTTGCTCTTAGCAGCGCTTTTGAGCGTTGGTTTTGATCCATCCTGTCCATTTATCTTGGTGTGCGCGGTCTTCTAGTAGTCTTGGGGGTATCACAGTCCTGCGGCTGAATTGCTGATGCCACTTGTCAAGCTGTTCATTGTTGTGTGTCTGGAAAATGCAGCCGCTCGTTCAGGGGGTACAGCATTTGCAAAAAGTGGGAAGCATGCAATCTCCCTCTATTATGACTTCAAGAAGTAGTCTCGAGTAACTGCGCAAGGTCGGTTTTGCAGGTACACTGGGGATGGTTCTTTTTGGCCATGCGTTTCTTGAATGATGAGAGTGACCAAGCAGAGTTCTGACCACCAGATTCCGACCTAAGTTGAACCTAAGAAGACTTACAACATCAGCTTGGTGTATTTTCTGAATGCATCTTCTTTGTTGCAGGAGAAGGTTTACATCACTTACCACAAGACCTGTGGCGATTCAAACGTCACCTTCTGCAAGGTGAAGGACTTCGACCACCCGGCTGACCTCTCCACCATGCTGTGCCTCCCCGAGAAGGCCAAGAAGGTAAGAGGCAAGAACATTTCATTTCGGATTTTCCATCAAATCGCTGCAGCGTTTTGGTCACTGATTGCTCCTGACTGGCGAAACCCTTGGCACTTTTTTGGAGAGGCCATTTCGCCTTGACGTTTTGCATATGGTCCACCTCCTTTGAGCTCAACAAGTGTTTGCATAAGCGTTTCCTGTTCTAGGGGTCTGCAGTTCAGACCGTAGGGAGTATATTAGCCCTACGTTTTCTGAGAGCTTTCAGCAGGCATCTGTAAAACTTAGCAGGCCTTTCTCAGATGGTTTCTTTGACGCTTTTTGACATGTCACTCTTGTTCTCAATTCACCTGGTCAGTAGTCACGCTGCTGTTCCGCTGTCTCGTTTATGTCAGACACGTCTTTATGATTCATTGTCTGGTGTTGGCACAAGGTTGGGACCCTGCCTAATGCCGTTAAAACCGAAAGGTTTGGACTTTCTATGGAATTATGTCTATCTCGCAGTTCCTTTTATAGAATCAATGTGAACATGGAGATTGAGACTGTCTTTGTTAGAGCATGACACACCAGACTGAGTATGGATTGCGCTTTTACTTTTTATGCGTGCTGGGTTGCTTTCCTGCTGTTCGGATGCTGTGCTTCCCTCAAGCATAAGCTTTCGCATTCTGTTTCTGCATCTGAAATACTTTGTTTCCTGTTGGCCTGTCTTTGAAGAGACAACGGATACGGAGGTTAAGAAAGATAACCCCTGAGGACTGAAGGATAAAGTCTAGAGGGTTTGTAACAAGACGGAAGTTGTAATTATTCTGCGTTGCTTCTTCGCAGGGTGGCACCATCGTTGTTGGAGGGTCCCTTGATGTCGACATGTACTTCATCAAGGCCAAGAAGGCAATCGTAAGCACCAATCAGTTGTGTTTTTTCATTCTGCTTTTAAGCACGGCATTCTGCTCTTGATGAACATATCCCTTCTTTCTGCAAGAGCCATCTGTTTGAACAGGGACACGGCAGTGATGCTTGGGAGTGATCAATCGCAAAGTAGCCCCAAAGAATGTCTGGGGGTAACCTAACGACCAATGGGGAACTTTGTTTTTGCTTTTTCCGCATTTTTCCACTATAGCAGAGGAAAAGTCACTCGTTTCCACTTACATAACAGCCGAGCATTGAGCTACTGGGTTAGAGCGCTTTGGCATTAAATTCGATCCCATGACTGCAAACATGACCTTCAGGAAGGACCGCTCGAAGTTCGTTATCATCCTTCAGATCTCTTTAAAGTACTAAAAAGGCAAACTTGCTGGTTTTTCTCGGTGCTGATGAAAGAGCAGGGTGCCTGCAGATTTGCACCAATATAAAATCCTGCCTGTACTGTCGTTTTGCACAAGCGGACGCTGGTTTCATTTTCTTTCTGCAGGTCGTGGTGTCCCTTACCTCCGAGAGCAACATCCCTGTCTCCATCAACGCCGCAAAGAAGTGCCACAGCGCTGTTCATACCAACGTGAGCTGCCACAACTCAGGCATTCGCATCTGTCACGTGTCCCAATTTGTAGGTCGCATCGAGGCGACTTGTGTTGTATTTGACGTTACCTCCTTCTCTGTTAATCTCAAGGTCCACATCGAAAGGTTTGAACGACTTCATCGCAGTTGAGTGCAAATCCTCCGCACTTGACAGCCGTTACTTGAGAACGTGATCAATATGTCTGAATAGTCGAGGAAGAACTCGAATGACTTTGTACCGTCGAATGAATGTGCAATCTGTTTTCAACGGGGTTTGACTCGTTTTATGCAATTTGGTAAGGTGCGCATTCTGCTGGAGTACTTCAGTGCCCTTTTCACCAAAGAGGTCAAGAACGACTTTGATAACCTCTTCAGTAGAGTAGATTTGTAGATTGATCAGCATCCTATTGAGAAAACGCGTCAAGAAGACTGAAAGTCCGGAGGATTCATATCTCGGGCCTTCCTTTCTTGACAGTACTTCAACATCACAAAGGACATCGACGAGGGCTTCTTTGACGTCCCCGCCTCCTGTGAGGGGAAGATGGAGGTTTCCCTGGTAAGCACGTGTCTCTATCGTCCTTTTGTTTGTGCTCAAGTCTTCTGTTTCCGCTTCCACACTTGTTTCTCACTTTGTCGGGATTACAAGAGTTTTTGGAAGGAGGAGGGTTTTGGAAGGATTTCAGTATCGCCGTGCAAGTGCCTCTTCGACTTCGAATGTTTAGGTTGAGGTAAGTACCTCAAATGCTCTCAGGCGTACCTCAGCTGCCCTCGTTTTGTTCCAGCATGAGCTGTGTCCTTATATCTTTGGGAAGATCTTTTTGCGCTTTTCCTACCGGCTGATTATAGCCAGAGCTAGGCTGACGCTTTTGTTTGCGCTTAGCGAATGGAATAAGCAGAGCGGATTGATAAATTGACGAAGGAGGGTTCACCTTGAATTGTGGAGAAATCAGTCCTATAGTCTGCCCAGTGGCAAGCACCCAAGCTCGAGAGATGGGAGTGTTTGTGTAACTACATGTCTTTTACCTTTTTCAGAGGGTGTCGAGAAAGTGTCGAGAAAGGTCTTTCGTTGTCTTCTATCCTCTGGACTGCTTTTTGGTCGGTACCACCTTTTGAGATCGTAATTTGGAGATGTAATCTGCATCCGCAAGTGAATACGAGAAGAAAAGTAGAGAACGATTCACTAGAGAACGATTCACCAAAATTAGCCCTCGGTTAGACCGGAAAAGGGTGCTTCTCATTTGTGCAGCCTTTGTCTCTCGCCAAGACTTTCGAGGAGCCTTCTTTCGGCAACCCTGCTGCCGAGCTGTTCAGCGGCGCCAGCTATGATGACATGGAGAAATACGACGACAGCAATGACGAGAGCTTCTTTGGAAGGATTGCAAAGACAGTGGCCGCCTTCTGGCGTGGCGTCTTCGGGTCTCGCCCTACGGAGACCAACGAAGCGTTTATTTCAGCCCCCAAAATCCGCATGTATGGGCAGGCGTAAGAAGAACTATCTCTTCTGGGATGTTTGCTGTAGAAATGAGTAATCTGCTGAGAGGGAGGGGCAGGGCAAAAAAGGCCCTGCCGCCCCTAGCTTTTTTGGATGTAGAGCAGCCGCCATGAAGAGCAATAGCACAAGGAATTCAATTCAGTCCAAGTGCAGGACGGAGAAGCTGCCTTTTCTTTACCATTCACTTTAGTTGTACACTATGTAGTCTGGCCTGCAGTGAAACTTAGCTGTACCCTTGATACTCTTTCATCTAGTCGTTATCGTGGTTACATGTAAATTCATCACATTTGTATTTTTTTGGTGCAAAGCTCGCTTAGTGTACGGCATGGTCTGTAAATCGAATCTTATCATATTTGATGATGTTAGGCTATATCAAATTTAGTGATGGCCGCTTGAGGGCGATTCGAAGGAATATTCTGCATTGAATTGAACTATATATAGTGCAACGATATATGTTATACACAGATGATGATCGAGCCCACGCAGTTTATTTATGTTCACGGTTGCTAAACGTTTGCAGGTACATATATAGCAATTGTGGCTTTAAGACAGTGTTCGTGCACACATGCGGATTTGTGCATATATATTCCAACAGTTGTTTCAAATAGCAGAATTCAATGCATGCAAGTACCTGTTGCCGGCAGCTGCAAGCCCGAAGATGGTCATATGGATGCGATTTCCGATCCGACCATGTAGATGCGCCGAGCTGCAATTCTTTTTTACAGCACAAATACATATACTGATCGCAAGTGGCCGGTGAGAATGGTAGATCCGGCTCAATCTGCCATTCGAGAATACTTTGTATATCATAGCTTGTGCCATGCTACGATAGCAGGCTGCATATGCGTATAGTGACACTCGAATCCAAATGACCGTATAGCCACGAACGCGATATCATCAGATATGTCAGTTGCCGGATGGATAATTGGAGTCCAAACGTATATAAGTAAGTTCATGCCCGCAAATTCGTCATATACCGATATGCAGCAGGTGAGTTGATGGGTTTGACGGAATCCATGCATGTAGAATGACAAACAATCCGAGTTCGAGGTACCAAGTGTTGACCGACAGCATGCTCCCCAGCTGAGTAATCCGTATAGCCTAGTAGAATTCAAAGGAAGGTGCAAATCGGAGTTGAGCCCCCACTCATACAAGAATACAAGTTGCGACGTACTGCAAGCCATGGACTTTGCAGTGGCTTATCTTGTGGTTCTACTGACTACAATTGTGGTCGCCTGAGGAAAAGATCGTAAAGTTTGAATTACCAGAATTTGAAGAAATGATTGCTGTTTCTATCGATATCCCAAGAGTCTGCTTTGCAAGACCCAGCTAAATGATCTAATATTGACTTGCATAAGACGCTGAACTTGTTTATGCTCGTGATACTTGGGTGGCAAACCACTTACCACTATATACAGTCGAACGAGAGGATTTTAGATCCTATAATCCCTCTGTTTCTGCCCCCGTACAGTTCTTCAGTTCCATCATCGAAACAGAAACCTTTCCCTTCGAGCAATTTCACCCAACGAGATCTGCAGTACAGGGCGCATTCGTTGTTCACTCTCGCTGGGCTGGCAATGGTTCAGATTGACCATTCAGCCGGTCTTGTGTTGCTTCTGCGACATGGCGCCATTTGAAACTTGCAGTTACATGGAGAGACATGAGCTGCCAACTCAGGCTCGCTTTTTGGGGGTACATAGTGCAACAAGACATCCTTCGCCCCAATTATACAAACCCGGGGCTCACCTTTCGACCCGGATCATGAAGCAACCTTCCCCTTATCAGCCTTGTGCTCGTCTTTCATGAACCCCTGCGCGGAATGTTACAAACCTGTCAGGACGAGCTAGAAGCGCAGGGGAACCCACTTGTGGGTTCAGTCTCCAATGGAGGTCTCAAGTGAATACCGCCAGGGGCAAAGTGCAGGATGTGAATTGTTCGTTAGGTGATGGACCGCTATGTCTGGCAGTGTTTTTTGGGGTCTCTCTGAGCATGTGTTCTGATATACTACAATCAGACATACTGACATATTGACATACATTGACATATTGACATATTGAGTCACTGCTTGCTCGCAAGATCGGCCAATCGAGCCCGAATGGTCACGATCGAACTCGGACACCAGAACTCAAGACACGGGGTTGAGTAGCACTCTTGTTTTACCACCATTAACGTCCAGCGAGAACCGCTATCCACAGGAGAGTGCGCACGGCAGACGGACACATCTCTGCATGCTGGAACAGCAAACCTCACAATAATCACAACCTTGACATCCGCAAGCAGTTAAGCGAAGAAGGTCCGCTTCTTACCCCGCTGTTGACTAGCTTCTCGAAGTCCTCTTCGTTGAAGCCCTCCCCGTCGTCATCATCGTCAACTACAAAAAGCACGCCTACAGTAGTTCAGAAATTGTAGATTTGCACAGACTATTAGCCCTTCACTCAGTTTATCCGTTAGCTGCCCTCGAACGTAAAAGCAGAGGGTTCCATTGCAGCAGCCATTCTGCACGTTCTTCAAAGCTGCTATAGCTAAGAGCGTGAACGAAAGTAGGAGAAGCAGCAATCCTTGACTCCCTAGATTACGGAATTGAAGGGATTGGTTCCACTATCGAAGACCAAAGAGGAGTCTCCAGTCGCGCCGGAAGATTGCCGTTTTGGTTGACCCAAAGACCTAGCGAGCTGCCAAAACACTCAACTGTGCGTACCATGCCCAGTGCATCCATCCACTAGCACGATATGCGCAACCTCCGGTCTGTCGAGGACTGGCAACGGAAAACAACTCATCTGAAAGACTGAAAGCTAGAAAGTAGAGGGGCCCTCACCGTCATCGTCCAAGGCGCCCATCAGATACGCATCCAAGTCCGTCTCCTCGCCCTTCTCGTTTCCCCCCCCGGCTTTCGCCTGCGAAACCGCCCCCCCGGCAGCCGCCTTCCCGTCCGTTTCGCGAGGTCCCTCTTTCTTGTCCGGGTTCGTAGCGCTCGGTTCGGTACCCGTGGCGGTTTGGACCGCGCCCGTCGTCTCGCGGACGGCCGGCTTCTTTTCGGACGCGGCAGGGGTAGCGTCCGCGGCAGCCTTGACGGCCGCCAGGTCGCGGATGCCGCCGTTGGCGGGCTTGGACTTCGGTTTCTCTGCAAGAACAGAAAATGAGAGGTAGGAGAATAGGACTGAAGATACTTGATACGCCGGTGAAGATGGAAAAAAACGAGTTTTGCGCTGTTTCCATGGCTTCAAGGGCGTTGGCGGGGCTTGGACTTGGGCTTCTCTCCAAGAAGGAAATCTGGTGTCAGTCAAAAATCCGTTGCCGGAACGAAACATTAGATGAATCTTAAAGTGCGTCGATGGCCATCAAACCCGCAGATGCCGTCAATGCTGGGTTTGGACTCTCTGCGAGAGGCAATACCGGGATTTCAGCAGCGCAATTGAGGGGACGCAAGTACTTGACACTTTACGGAACACAAAGGAGGATGAATTTTCAAACAGCTTCGACGGCAATCAGATCGCGGGTGCCGCCACTAACGAGGTACAAGAATAAACAGGATTGTTTTGGAACCATTTTCAATGGCCATTCGAATCACTTTTCTCCCTTGGCGGGCTTAGCACTTGCGCTTCCCTGCAGGGATGAACGTCTGCAGCGGGTTCGGAGAGGACGCATATCTCCTACATCCGATTCTCTTCCGATAATTTCGAATGAAGCCTCTGGGGCCCTTGGCTTTCCCCCTGCTTACGAGACTTATATTAAAGTAAAACGCTTAGTAAAACGCTTCAAAATGATTGCAAGGTCCTGGCATGGCGGCCCACCTGCGGGCTTGGGGGATGATGACGTCACGCTGCTGGCGATCGTGCGCCCCGCCTGAGTCAAGCCCGCCCGCACCTCCTGGATGCCCACTAGGAACGACTCCTGCATACAGTTGACACCGCATCAGTCTCGGACCACACTGGCACAGGCCGTCGATGGGCTTTGGTGTCAAAAACCAGAACGAGCTTGCTTTGGAACAGCAACTGCAAATAAGTTCCGTGCTTGATCATTTGCACTCCCGATTGAACAAAAACAGCGCGACTTGCATCTTTCTAACAACGATGACCCGGAAAGACCAGCATCTGGTGAGTTGCTGCGGGCGTGACATCAAGCGCCAACTGTAAGAAAGCTTGACAATGGCGATAAGTGCCGGCTACCATGCAATAAGCAAGCGCGAAAGATGCTGATGTCATCCAAGCAGAGTGCAGTTTGGGCGAACAAGTGTCCAGCGAGTTCTTCTAGTCATGCAAACATTTTCCACCTTTTAGACGGATGTCGAACCTCTAACAAACCGAAATACCAACATCAAAAGCCACACTCATTGATCCGACAAAATCTCCGAGAGAAAGCCAGAACTGATTATTGTGCCATTGAAAGACGGAACTTAGAATCGATGACCTGTTGCGAGTCGCACCTGTAGCGGCTTCATGGTCTCTGCAATGCTGGCAGCGGTTGTGGCTGCTGCGCTGGGCTTCGTTGAGTCCTTCGCAGCAGTTTCCGCTGGCGGCTCTGCCGGCTGCTTGGCGGCTTGGGCCTGCTGCCAGCGCGCCTCGTACCTGCAATCCAAAGCGGGTCCGTTTGAAACGGCGTCGTCTCACCGTTAAAACCGGGGCGACCAGAGACCTTCGAGCACTTCTGTACAGGCCAGGAAAGAAGACCAGCTATGCTGCCGGCCAAGTGACGGTCCTCCAGTGCAGATGGCCATGTTGGTTGCTGAGGCAAAGGAAGATTGCGCATCCGAGCCGTCCGACGAGGTTTTCTGTCAGGACTTGGATGCCACTAGTGCGCCTTGAACTCTGACGCCCTCTTTGAACTCACAGCCTGAATGGTGGCGTGCAGGGACCGTCGCTTACTGGTATGAAAACTTTAAAACGCTAAAACCCTAAAACCCTAAAACTCAGGCGTCATAAACGACATCCTCCGGTGTCCATCTTCGAGGCTTCTGAAGATTCGATTGCCGTTTCAAAGACCATTGAGAACATCTGAAGACTGTCTAGATAGCTCCACATTCAACCATGAGAAACTTACGGCTTCTGAAGATTCGGTTGCCGAATATTCGGCCCCATTCAAAGACAACTGAAAATCTGAAGACTGTCTAGAGAGCTCCACATTCAAGCGTGAAAGATTTACGAAATAAGTGAGCCAGCACTTCCTGTTCTACAGCCGTTCGGAAAGGAAAGGGAGACTCTCCAGCCACACTGTCAAACGGATACGGAAGCCTCTAAAGAAGCAGGATAGACTCAGATACCAGTCCCAAACTCAGATACCAGTCCCGACCTTTGTGCCAAGCAGAACTGAGGAAAAGGTCCACAATCCCAGATGTTGCGCGTATACCACAGATCGCGCAGACGTCTGGAAGGAAGCAGTCAGAAAGTATAGGCTCCAGGTTCTTAGATGGTAAAAGCAACGCAAAGAAAGCCTGCATGTAACAACTTCTCCTCGAACCTACTCACGGGGCAATGTGTGAGTGGACTAGCGTGAAGTAGATCTTCCAGAAGCGGGACTCCTTCATTCGCCGTGGGCACAACACGTACCGGAAGTCCGCAACTTCCTGCAGGGGCACCACGACCATCGTTACTCACGGCAATAGTTCTCCTCTTGGTCTTTCCTGGCACTTTTATCTGGTCTCATCTTTGCTCCTCTCATTCCGCATGGTTTCGTAAAATCTTCGTAAACACTTGTTCCCCCACCCGTTCGTTTCATCTCTCCTCAAAACGATCTGCAAGAATCTTGCCAATGTGACAAACATTTTCCTTTCTCTGCAAGGATGTTTACGGTTCTTCTGCTCTTTCCCGGCTGACCAACGGTTTCAACAAGATCTTCAGCTGCACTATCTATCAACATTCATAATCCCAGGCAGCGCACCTGCACTGTCTGGAGCACCAGGGTCGCATGGTGCTCCTGAAACGGTGTCAACTCGCTGCCGTCCACCCGTTGCTCCTTGGGGGTCTTCTCGGATGGGGAGTCGCTGCCGTTGTCACTGATCCCGCTGTCAGTCTTCTGGAGGCCGGCGGCTGCTTGTGCGGCTGTTTAGGGCGTCAAGGAGATGACAGGTAGAGGCAGGATGTAAAGCGCAGTAAAACCATTGTACCTGCACATCTTAAGCCCCAAACCCTGAAGAATCTGAACTTCAATAACTGCAGAGGGATCCCTCAGTGTTTCGAATACAAAATCCGCGCGGTGCGAGAGGCCTGCGACTCACACATAGGGGCCTGGAAGGCTCGTGGTCCATTCCAACGACAAATGTTTCCCCTCTGAGAAACTCCCAAGCAAGCATGCTCTTGGCTCCCTGACAAGCAACGAAGATATACACCGACTTGTGTCCGGATGCAAAAAGGGTAAATATACAGAGCCGTTTTGATGCCTCTAGTTATCTGAAAGCAAGAAGGAAAGCACGGCAGAGCGAAACACCCCTGACAGTGTTTTGCACTGAAGCTCGAAGTTGAGGATACACAACGCATCCTCCAAGGGAAATTGCCGGAATGTCTTGATGTCGATCCCCCGAATGAAGTCGATCAGCTCCTCAGTGATCCCCGCCTCTTGCAACTCTTGTTCTTTGCTGGGTTGACCAGGCCCCCCCTTTGCATTCAAGTCGAGCGCCAACTGCTTGAGCTTGATCTCGGCCTTCTTGCTGGCCTCTGCTGCGGCCTTGTACGAGCTCTGAGCGGCGAGGCGGGTCTGTTTCGCGGTCTCAGTAGCTAGCTCGCGGGACTGGGCGGCGGCGGTGGTTGCAAGCTCCTGGAGAGAGACGTCGTTCCTTTTCCATACCAGAGGGTTTCCGTTCAAAAGGGATCCAAAAGGAATTCCTTTTCCATATCAGAAGGGAATGAGAAGCAGGAAATGTAAGTGTAGAGGAGCTCTGCATGACAGGGCGTCTCGTTGTGTGGTCCCTGGGACTATTCAGCGCAATGGTTATGCTTCACAGCAAAAGGGTTCAGCTTTTAGCATCTTCAAGTGGTTTGGACTGTGAAGGCTTGCCCTTCATAAAGGCACAACAAAAGGAAGGCTCCTGTAAGGGCACAGAGGAGCACAGGAACCATACACAGAGAATGAGGGCGAACGACCGCGAGCTCCTGGGGAAGTACTTTCCCCGACGAAACGAAGGACAGAGCAAATGAAGGACGGAGAGATCCTAGAAAGTCATTTTAGCGTCACAGTGGAAGAGCGAAAAGACCTTGAGATAGATGGCAAGATCGCTGAGGGATCGTTGTGTTAAGAAACATTCGGAATGGCGTGAGACCCTGTGAAGGTGAAGACCCTATTGGCATGGAAGGGAACCACAAAAGGAGCGGCAGAATGACTTGGTCGACACTGTTTGGCAACAACTGTCACCAATTATGAACAGGTTCTGACATGGACGCACTTTACTCGAGGAGCCGTTAATGATGAGGTGGGACCGAGCCAAATGCAGTCCCATCATAGCTTTTTCAAGTTCTCAGAGTTCCAAGGGTCTTTCAAGCCAGCTTCGCTCGAGAATCCTCTCAAGAGCCTTGAACATTGCCCCAATCCCACCATTTGGGGGGCAAAGAACGCAGAGGTCGAATATTGAGAGAGTTATCATCACAACCAACCAGCATACAAAGTCTGCCTCGATCTGCAATATGCACCCTCGTGCATGCTTCTAGTGAGCCCCCACGGCATCCTCTAGTGAAAATCACCCAAAGATCCAAAGACAAGGGGGAGGCTAGCGCCCTTATCAGAAGGTTTACTTGAAGTAAAAGAGTTGCGGTCAAAGTGAGCGAACTCGAATAATCTGCATGGTACTAAATGAAGGACAAAAAATGTGTCTATTTATGAATGACAATCCGTCGATGAGGAGAAAGACCAACGATAATGTGACCAACATTCGTGGACGGCCGACGCACCTGAGACTTCTTCAACGAGGCGCTCGCGAACTCCTGGGCCTTCTTGAAAAAGCTGTCCATGACAGTCGGGAGGGGTGCTGCTTTGAATGCCGGGTTGCTGACCTGTCAGCAAAGGTGACAATTTCAATCAAGGTCAAAATATAGACTCTAGGCAAGCACGTCCAGTTAGGGAGGAATGTTCTAATTGCTCCTGGACAGCCGGTTTTGCAACATTAAACTGCTACTTGTAAAACACGGCAAGAATTCCCAGATGAATTTGGCCAACCGCAAGTAAACATATTTATTAAGGTTAAGCCCATTGCACACCAAACAGAGACTCTGGGTTCCGACCTCAAAGGTTTGAGAAGGACCTTTGACTAGCAAAGCTGGACTTCTTGCAGAAAATCTTATACAGCATTGTTGCAAAGACGCAATTATGGCAGGCTGGATAGATTTTGAGAATGCAACGAAATACTTCATTCCAGCAATTTCTGGTGCGACAAAATCACACCAATCTCAGTTCAGCTACCTCTGCTTTCGACCGAAAATCGCATGCTATTGTTGAAAACTCAGACGTGAAGACTATGTGACCTGGATTTGGGCAGGAGCAGCTGACCCTTCCAGCATTCGGCATGCATGTCTGCAAGCTGAGACTTTGCTCAAAGTGGCACGTACTATGCTGTCCTTGAAGGCAACTGCAATTGACATGGAAAATGATGGAGTACAATCTGACTCAACTCACCTTTTCAGGGAGTAAAGATCTGGGCTGAAGTCTTCAGGATGGCCAGAATGAGTTGGAATGTCAATGTTGTGCTTGCGAAAAGAAATTCAAGGAAAAGCTGTTATTTGCAGCCCTTCAGCTCTTTGATTAGCCGCTCAGAGTTGGAAATGCTGACGAATAACCCAACACGTTAAACGGCTTCTTAAGCTTTGAGATGCAGCGTAAAAAGCCGTATGTTCCCGCTACAACCTGATCTCCCCATTTGATACCTCCATATAAAGCACCACGCACTTTCTGTTCGAGCTTTCTTGGACAAAATGCAGGACTCTGAGGGTTTGAAAAAGGACCCCTCACAAGGAGACAACTCTCATTTGTGAGCTGGGCGCTATTTAGTATTTCTCAGAAGCACTCTGGAGTCTGGATTATGGAACATCTGCAGTTGAGTGCCAGACTGTGCAGCACAGAGCAGCAATGGCAGAACCATGCACAGCAGCAAAAATCCGGCATACGAGGTCATATAAGCAGGTGGAGTAGCGGTGTACGGCGGCTTACATGCCACATACGCGGATAATGGAAAGGTAATTTACGTACGATCAGCCGCCGGACTGGTCTCGCACACTCCCTTCAGAATGTGGCATATAGACACATATTCGGGTGGTCACCCTGCAGAAGCTGCTAGAAGCTACGGGCTCGAAGGGCATACGTTATCGGACTTTGCTCTTGGTGAAATGCTCCTGCTGTCTTCTTCAGCCTGTTCAGGACTGCTTGTGCTTCTTCCGCTGATCATATCTGCAGATTGCGAGACGGGCTTGTGCGGCAGATCACTTTCAGAAGAACTCCCAACTATGCTTGAAAGCATAGGGGACGCAAGGGACGCAAGTACTTTGGCGTCTGTTTAGTTGGACTTCGTGTCTCTGCTGCTAACCAGATCGTGACCGTTCCTTGCTGGGTGGCGCATGCCACAGAAAAAGAGGGGGGCAGACGTCCCCGGGCCCGACTCCTCTGCGAAGCGGTACCGGTCTGACTCAGCAACTAGCATGGGGAAGCAGGAGCCCTCCGCAGGCGTCGTCGAGATCGATGAGGATCTCCACAGCCGTCAGCTGGCGGTGTATGGCCGTGACACCATGCGCCGCCTCTTCGGCGCCAGCGTCCTGATCCAGGGCTTGAAGGGGTTGGGTGTGGAAGTTGGTAAGGGTTTGCATGGAAGTAACTGTATAGGGCACCGCACGTGTCAGCGAAGTGTATATCAATCTGCAGATGTGTCAGGATTGCTGTGATTATCATTTCTTCAGAAGCGACCAGCTGTATTTTTGTTTTTGGGTTTTGTCTGGTTTGTGAAGGAGTTCAAGGTTGCGGCTTTGTATTCCCTCAATCAGTGTTGCGCTTCCTCAGTGATTGCTCATTGAGGCATGGATCAACCACTTCAATAAGCTAATCAAAGACTGCAGCAAACTTGACAAGCTCTGTTTTCGGGTCATCTTTGTTCATGTTTAGCCTTGCGTGTAGTTACACCTTCAGCTGCAGCGCCTTTGGTCACTTGATTTCATTGGAAGCTGAAAACTTGAATGCCAGAATATGCTCGTGATTGCTGTGTGTCACCCGAGTTTGATCATGCTTCCACTCTGAGTCAAAAGGTTGTGAAGACGGTCAGCTCAGGAGGCAATCCGATGAGGCTTCTCACACCGTTTGCCTCACAAGAGTCATACGAAGTATCATTCGATCATTCCGTGTGTTTTGACAGAGAGTTTCCAGCTCATTCAACTCGACTCCCCTTCTCTTCCTCTGTTATCTCCTCGATCAAATACTCAGTACTTTGTTTCGGCAGCCAATAAAGGAATCTAATGAAAGTCATGGCCTGGGGTTTTCCAGCTCAATCAACAGGTCTCATCTATCTCTTGCAGCCAAGAATGTGATCCTAGCAGGAGTGAAGGCCGTCACTCTTCAGGATGAAGGCAAGGTTGAGCTGGCGGACCTGTCCTCCCAGTTCTACCTGAAGGAGGAGGATGTTGGGAAGTACAGAGCACAGGCGTGCCTTGAGCGGCTCAAGGAGCTGAACACCGCAGTGTCAGTCACTGCAATCACGGAGCGGATCACTGAGAAGTTATTGGAGAACTTCCAGGTGCGCTTTGTGTAGCGATCCTTGTTGCGATTCAGGCACCTGCTCAGACATTGCAGAAGGTTTTGGCGCGTTTCTGTGGGTGTGCAAGTCCCAGCTGACACAGCTGCTTTGAGTTGTCGTACTCACCTGTGCTGCAGACTGTGATCATTGTGGTTTTGAGGCCTCAGATGGTGATCAAAACTGGTTGTTGCTTGTTAGTTTCTGTAAACGAAGGCAGATGATCCAGCCTAGATGTTGAGCTTACTTTTCAAAATGTTCTTTGAAGCCAGATCACAGACAGCGGTCTTCAGCATTCTTACTGGTTCCTAAGACTTCATGAACTGTCTTTTTGGCACTTTCTGTTTGACGCTTCAGGCTGTCGGTGGCCATCTCCTGAGCTTATACTCTTCAATCCCCTCTCTCCTCCGTCTCCTTTTTTTCCAACCTTAGAAACTCTAACTTTCATTACACGCAGGCCGTTGTCATCACCGATCTTTCCTACGATGAGTCCATCAAGCTCGATGACTACTGCCACAACCACAGCCCCCCTATTGCGTTCATTCGGGCCGAGATCCGTGGCGTGTTTGCCAACGTCTTCACCGACTTCGGACCTTCTTTCACTGTGCGGGATGTCGATGGCGAGGATGCCCACACCGGCATCATTGCTTCCATCAGCAACGACAGCCCTGCGCTGGTGACAGTGGTGGATGACGAGCGGCTGGAGTTCGTGGACGGAGATCTGGTCACGTTTGGGGAGGTGCGTTCACGTTGCGCTTTTACGTCTTTGTGAAGGATGGTCTTTACAGATTTTGTCCTGGATGCTGCGGATTAGAGCTGTGGTCTGGCTCGTGTGAAAGTTTCGATTGCAAATGGTTTACGATTGCAAAGTCGGAGTAGGCAGGCCTGACAACAGACTAGCCTTACTGTGATTATGGCTGATCCGATTGGACACAGAAATCCCTCTATTTTCGTAAGCATCGACTCCTGTGGCGCAGTCCCTTCTTTTCTCACGCAGGTATCGTTTCTAGTTTCTTCAACCAGGTTTTGTCCATGTCCATTTCGAAGCACCTTCAAGCAATTCAATCATAAACAGATCAAATCATCCTGACGTGGCCTTCATACTAAGACAAGTTCTGGACGATGAGAACCAACTTCGCGGTCCTATCTCCTTTGATGAATTCCTTTTGTGGTCTTTCTCTGTAGCCATATCTCGGCACTAAGGCGCTGCCACTTCTGGTCGTGGTTAGCTCCTCATTTCAATGCGTACACCTGTTGCTGACTCCTTCGCACGACAGATCCGCGGCATGACCGAGCTCAACGACGGCAAGCCACGCAAAGTGTCCAACGTGAAGGCGCACTCGTTCATGCTCGAAGAGGACACCTCCAAGTTCGGTGCGTACCAGGGGGGTGGCATCGTGACTGAAGTCAAGCTTCCGAAGGACCTCCAGTTCAAGACGTTCAAGGAGAGCCTGCAGGCTCCCGGGGAGTTTCTGCTGAGCGACTTCTCCAAGTGGGACCGGCCGCCCCTGCTGCACCTCGGCTTCCAGGCGCTGGACAGCTTCCGCGCGCAGCACGGCAGGTGCGGACGCGCAGTGTGAATGCGATCCAGTGCTTGGAGTCTTTTCTGCTTCCGTCAAGACATGTTATTCAATTGTTGTTTTCGTAGCTCACTGGCAGGAAGCAGAAAAGCAGAGTTGAGGCTGATTGGAAGTCTCGGATGTATAGTCACTTCCGAACCCGGATGGGGGTGTGAAAAGGGGAATCCCTAGGCCTTTAAGTCGCGCTTCGGGTACATCATTCGACGTTATGTCAAATAGGCAGGGCGCTCGTTTGCCACAGATTTTATAAGACGTGTTCGCGTTTACAGTCTAGGATTCCTCAACGTGTTTGAGAACCGCCATCCTTTGAGTTCGGACCGTGCTCCTCGAAGCGCTGTTGTCACAGCTGGAGCGTTTGAAGCTGACCTCACACGGTTACAATTTTTATTACTCAGGAAGCGTCTTGAAGGTCAACTCAAGTACTATGCCGTTTTCCCTGCAGATTCCCTGCCCCCGCCTCCAAAGAAGACGGCGACAAGCTCGTTGCTCTCGCGAAGGAGATCAACGACAAGGCCGAGTCAAAGATCGAGGAGATCGACGAGTCCGTCCTGCGCCACCTGGCGTCCGGAGCGTCCGCAGACCTGAGCCCCATGGCTGCGATGCTGGGCGGAGTCGTGGGCCAGGAAGTCGTCAAAGCGTGCTCCGGGAAGTTCCACCCGCTGTTGCAGGTGAGACTGCGGCAGCGTTTGTTTTGTCCGCCCTAGCTGGGGACGTTGTCGGTCATTGCGCACTTCGACGTTGTCTATTACGTGTCAATTGTCAGAGCCTCTTCGGATCTCTAAGTATCTCGTCTCTGCTTTAATGTCCGGCGTCCAAATATGCTGCAGTAGGTTCAAAGTTGAACTGTTGCGTGTTTGCAAAGCGCGGTTTACTTCGAGCGGAACTCGGGATGGGTCTTTTCTAAGGCTGCCTTCTCTATGACATTACTGACCTGTCTGACCAACCCGTTGCCGTTCCGGTTCGGCCAATAATCCGGTCCGTTTCGAGACTTTTATTATATCTTGTCAGACCCCCCCATCTGTTCCCAGTCGCCGAAGAACGTGGATTTTATTTTTCTACTCTAGGCTCTGTCCCGGCAAAAGGCACTTCCTCAGATTTGACGAAACAGGAACTGAGGCTGTGCTTTCCTCCCGCAGTTCTTCTACTTCGACTCCATCGAGTCCCTCCCCCGCGAGCCTCTCTACCCCGACGAGGTCGCACCCCTCGGCAGCCGCTACGATGCGCAGATTGCCGTCTTCGGCCGCACCCTCCAAAAGAAGCTCCAAGATGCGCAGACGTTTGTGGTTGGTGCGGGCGCGCTCGGGTGCGAGTTCCTCAAGAACCTGGCGCTGATGGGCGTGTCGACAAGCGACAACGGTTGCCTGACCGTTACCGACGACGACACGATCGAGAAGAGCAACCTGAGCCGGCAGTTCTTGTTCCGTGACTGGAACATTGGGCAGGCGAAGAGCGCGGTTGCGGCGGCAGCGGCGAAGGCGATCAACCCGGAGCTGAAGGTGAGGGTCACTAATCAGCTCAGGCGTCCTGAAACCTCCTACAATCATGTTCCAAAATACTTCGCCAAGTTGCTCGAGTCCGACGTTGTCTATATAAACCCAGAATTGAGGTTGGTCGTGGGAAGGTCGCGGCTGGAAGGACTCATTTCCCGTCCATAGTACCTCATGACTTGTTGGCAAGTTACGTCCTAGGTCAGCGCAACATTCATAGCTGTTGCAGTAAACTTAGTCGCTTGGGACCGCTATCAGTCCTGATGGCGAGGGCAGAACGCATTTTGACTTATCAGATCGTACTCAACTGGTGGCAAGCTCGGTACCAAGCGTTCGTGCCTTCGTGCTGCAGGTCCGCGCGCTGCAGAACCGCGTCTCGCCCGATACCGAGGACGTTTTCGACGACGCCTTCTGGGAGGGCCTCGACGTCGTCATCAACGCGCTCGACAACGTGAACGCGCGCCTGTACGTCGACTCGCGCTGCGTCTACTTCCAGAAGCCGCTCCTCGAGTCCGGCACGCTCGGCACCAAGTGCAACACGCAGATGGTGCTCCCGAACCAGACCGAGAACTACGGCGCGTCGAGGGATCCCCCTGAGAAGCAGGCGCCGATGTGCACGCTGCACTCGTTCCCGCACAACATCGACCACTGCCTCACGTGGGCGCGCTCCGAGTTCGAGGGGCTGCTCGAGAAGACGCCCGCGGAAGCGAACGCGTTCCTGGTGGATCCTGCGAAGTACAAGGCGGCGGTGCGGCAGGCGGGCGACGCGCAGGCGCGCGAGAGCCTGGAGAAGGTCGTCGAGAGCCTGGTCGTGGAGAAGTGCGCCGGGTTCGAAGATTGCATTGCGTGGGCGCGCCTCAAGTGAGTGCTGAGTGGCGTTCGTACTGTGTCAAAAGTGGTTGCAAGACAGCGCAGTGTAGTAATTAAGGTAGTTGCATTAACTGACGAGAAGTGGTTGGGAACACGCTGAAGTGCTCAAGCGTTCTGCTCTCAGGACGTTGTTCTTCTTCCGATGCCACTCGTTAAGTGAACGTACTATTTACGCGAGTAAGACATGGGTTTCGCTTGGTCCTTACAAATCCCACACTCGTCCATGTGCTGAGCACCTCTTAGTTTTGGCCTCACCTCGTTTTTTGTTTCGCCGAACCGTCACCGTTGTCAACGGGTACTTTTCCCAGGACCCTGTCCTTACCAACCCGCCTTTCCCGAAGGTCCAAGACTATCTCGCCAACCGCATCTTTCAGATTGCGACTCATTGCCGCCAATTATAAGCGCGCCTTAAATGGTTCGAAGTCCTCACTCTCACCCCGCTCACTGTTCAGGTTCGAGGACTACTTCGCCAACCGTGTGAAGCAGCTCACGTTCACCTTCCCCGAGGACGCCGCCACTAGCAACGGCTCCCCCTTCTGGTCCGCCCCCAAGCGGTTCCCCCGGGCGCTCGAGTTCGACACCGCCGACCCGTCGCACATCTCGTTCGTCCAGTCGGGGGCCATCCTCCGGGCAGAGACGTACGGCGTTAAGGTGCCGGAGTGGGCGAAGGATCCTGAGAAGTGAGTACCAGAACCTAAGTCGTGCCTGTCACTTCTTTCGTTTGGACGCACGAATGTTCGTTCTGTGGGTTTACCTTATCCAACGTACAAGACGGTAGAGCGAAGTTTCCAGATTGATTGTCAAACGGTGTGAATGTGATGATTTGGGGAAGCTGTTGAGTCGTTATTTCTGCAACAGAACCGGAATATGTTCGAGGCTGTGCTTGGTCGGATAGTGACGCTATCAGAACACAGCCGCAAAAGAATCTATCCAGCAATCGAATCTTATAACAAGCGACTTGACAACAAATGTAGTGTTTAAACGGCGTGAAGGAGGCGGTGTCGAAGGTACACGTATCAGAATTTGTGCCGAAACAGGGTGTGAAGATACCAACTGTTTATTGTCTTCCCGTGTCAAGCAACATGTTCATCGTTCCGCAGGGTGAAGGAGGCGGTGTCAAAGTCCACATGCCGGAATTCGTGCCCAAGAAGGGCGTGAAGATCAGTCCATGAAAATACGCTATCCAGCAACTCACCATATTTTGCTTTTTTCCGCAGGGTGAAGGAGGCAGTGTCCAAGATACACGTGCCGGAGTTCGTGCCGAAGCAGGGCGTGAAGATCACGAACGGACGAGAGGCCGAATATTTCACATACGCTATCCAACAACTCACCATATTGTATCTGCGTCAACAGGGCGAAGGAGGCGGTGTCGAAGGTGCACGTGCCGGAGTTTGTTCCAAAACAGGGCGTGAAGATTGTGACGGACGAGAGGCCGAATATTTTACATACGCTATCTAACAACTCACCATATTGTATTGCTTCAACAGGGTGAAGGAGGCGGTGTCCAAGGTGCACGTGCCGGAGTTCGTGCCGAAGCAGGGCGTGAAGATCGTGACGGACGAGAAGGCGACCAGCCTGGCGCAGCCGATGGACGACGATTCGGTGATTGACCAGCTGCTGGAGAAGCTCGAGGGAGGCACCAACGGGCTGCCCAAGGACTTCAAGATGGCACCCATCACCTTCGAGAAGGTGAGTAGAAGGATGGGGATCCAGTGTGGCATGGAAGCCAGTAAAGGGGCGGAAGCGCTGTAATGATTGAATGGCCTATTCCTTTGGAAAGGTTAGTGAAAGACGT